AATTATTGTATACTATTTTGCCTTTGACGTTTCATTTGGTAGAGAAAATTCAGCAAGGTGTAGAGAAATTTTATGTACTAAAAAATACAGAAAATACATATAAGCTATTAAAAAATAAGCATTAGTACAAAAAACAATACAGGGTCGCTGTTATGTATGGAAACGGTCGATTATTAAGTAAAATATACAAGGTACCGCAAAAAGTTAAATACAGAAATTATAGGGTTTTTAAATGTCTATTAAATCTAAGCAAAAATCGAAATTACACACATTGTACAAACTCATGGTTTGATTATATACATGTACTGATTTCTTTCGAAAATCGACATCTATGAAACTATGAACCTTTCCTGTACACAAACGGTACATTGTGAGACAGGAAATTGTAGAGAGAAACAAGCCCTATAAAATAGGATACAACATTTTAATGAACAGTGCTTTCCATAAAATCAATATAATGAAAAATATACGAAATAAAATAAATGTACCGATTTCTTTCGAAAACCGACATCTATGAAACTATGAACCCTTCCTGGACACAAACGGTGCATTGTGAGAGAGGAAATTGTAGAGAGAAACAAGCCCTATAACATAGGATACAACATTTTAATGAACAGTGCTTTCCATAAAATCAATAAAATGAAAAATATAGTAAATAATATACATGTACTGATTTCTTTCGTAAATCTACATCTATGAAACTATAAACCCTTCCTGGACACAAACGGTACATTGTGAGACAGGAAATTGTAGAAACAAGCCCTATAACATAGGATACAACATTTTAATGAACAATGCTTTCCATATAATCAATAAAATGAAAAATATAGTAAATAATATACATGTACTGATTTCTTTCGAAAATCAAAAATATTTATTATCTAAATTTAGAGTAGATGAATCCACCACAAAATATAAAAATAAAAACAAAACACACTGCTTTAGTTCATAATCTTAGTGTAATACAAATTAATGCATGAGATGGGTCTTTTTATTTTTTTATCTATGAATGAGACATCCAGCATCCAGTATGAGAGGTCCAGACACATTACTCTTCTAGTATATTGTTTTGACAAAATGGCGAAGGAAGCATTTTACGGAAAAAAACATTTTCTTTGAACAAAAATACTTTTTGTTTGTCCCTCTTGTTTATTTTAAAGAGTATACCGTTCATATACTTATAAATTAATATAGGAAATGTCTTTATCTACCCATACATATATATGAAATAGTATCTTCAATTTTTAAAATAGGTATTACAGAATAATTTATATACAGGGTGAGTCTTAAATAAATATATTTTTAAAGCTGGTAGATCTCGATAAAAGATACATATTTTCTCTTTGCTGTTTTTCAAATAAGTCCAAAATTGCTTAGTGATATTACTATTTTTTTTCTTAAATTTTCAAAGCCACTTGAGTTTGTTAAGGTTTTTTTTCCTATAAATTTAACCTACTCCCTATGTTGACATATTATCCAATTATTATGTTTTTTAGGTAGAAATAAAAAAAAATTCCAACATTTTTTTGAGATATACGAGATTGAAATATTAATAATAATACCATCGCTAAAAATATGTTCACCTATTTAAGACTCACCCTATATAGCTTCAATAAAATATTAAGCCATCTTTTTTTAGGATATTATACGTCAGTCTAGGCAACGGCTCAGCTACGTCGAAACACCGGCCCATTAGAACACCGAAGTTAAGCGACGCGACGTAAGGCGATACTAGTGGATGGACGGGTGACCGGTTCGAAACTCTGTATCGTGCTGTTGTCCAAAAAAAGGCAAAAGTTCGAGGCGGGATGAGATCGGATATCTCGTGAGCAAGAGTCGATTTAGACACTTGACAAGTCGGTAGGCCATTGACCATGATATGGCCGAGGACCGCGGTTCGGATTCCGCGTAAACAAAGTAGGCCCAGATTAGCCCTGGCAGCAAAAAGAAGACGTTAACTGAAATCTTTACTTTACTTTATCCGTAAGTTTATATTCTATGCAAAAAATACCTTCTTACTAAACTTGGAGTTTAAAAGTTACTGAAAAGTTATTCTCACTATAAGTTTTAAACCAACAGCTTTCTTTAATCAAAACAGATATATTGTATTTACTTTCCAAAGTCTTTTAATGTTCAGTACAAAAACACACGACCACAAATTAGCGCTTATAATTCTGTTCCCAGCCAATGTTAAATCAATCGACTATAAAAAAGTCGATGTTTCACAAAACAAACTCATTTTAAATACGCATGTTTAAAAATAGAAATACATTATTACATGATGTAACTTTACACAGGCCAAACATTCGATTTTTTCCTTTATTTAAAACTTAAAACACATATTTTCTAATCCAAATATTTTCTTTTGCGCAAGCAAAAAAAATTAAGAGGCGTGAATATGTATCTAGCGTTAATTTGAATTATGTTTTCCAAAAAATAATATTAAGGTCTATAATTAGCGTGGAAGATGCCAAATAGCATAACGTAGCATGAAGCATTAAGGTCACTGTAATTTTGCAATATAGCGGAAAAAAATATATTGGAAAATTAAAATGAAAAATTGCGCCAACTTGGCGGATGCACGCATTTCCAAAAATAAGTTTTGCATGTTTTTATTTAGAGGTTGAAATTGATTTAGTTCATAATCTCAGTGTAATACAAACGATTTTTTTTTAAAGTTTGTTTTTTTAAATATTTCAAAATGAAATAGGTACATAAGAATCAACCATGCCCAAATAGGCTTGGTGCATTCTCCGCCGGTGCTGCCACCATCGGAAAATATCATAAAAACTGATATAAACAAATACACGAGTTTATATAGCGAGTATACGAAATATTTATTATGTAATAATTAACACTTATTAATAAATAAATAAGTGTTAGGACTTTTATGAAGGATTTATTATTAGGATTTGTGAAGATTCTAAAAATTAAAATAAAAAAGTAAATATTTTGATATCTTCAGAAGGTCAACTTGTATTTTATTATTCAGCTAAAAAATCTTTTTAGTTAAGTTCAACTATGATAGAGAGCATAGTTTTACGCACCAGTTTTGCTAGTAGGGTCATAATTGGGGCTATTTCAGTTATAACAAATTTTTTTAAAGGTACTTTTTAAATTATAATTTTAGAAGATGTTTATAAAACACTTATCACTAGTTGGTGTACACTAAATCGGTGTGAGAAACTACGAAGCTATAAAATGTTGTTTCGGAAGAGTTCAATATCCAGGAAACAACGCCTTAATTACGCTCTCCTACGCGTTAACATTTTTTCGGCAATTTTATTAACATTTGAAATTGTCACAACACAACACGACGCCTAGTTCGGATTCTTGTCACTTATTTTTTACTACTCGCAACAGCGTTACATCATACAAACCTTGTTGTTTGATAGTTTCAATAACTGCACTAGCAAAAAACTAAAATACTTAAATATTATAACAAAGCCACGATTTCAATATTATTTTAATACGATCAACATGAACTGTAACCGAGACGGCGCGCAGCGGCGTGTATATATTGATAATTTTTGATTTCTGCCGTTGAAGCGCTGCGGTCGGAATTTGTTGAAATCAACTGAAATGCACTAAGCCTATATAAAATTCTTCGAAATCTGCTGTACTTAGATATATTTATCTTAACCAAGAACTAGAAGACTCTCACGTATCAATCTCACTGAAATATATATCTGATTCTGTGTTACTGAACGAATAATGGACGTGAATATATGTTTTCAGTAAAACCGATCAGTATATTCATACTTTCAGAGAAAGTGAAACCTAGTTCTACCTTTGTCCATTTTGACTGAACACTGAATACAAATTAAAATGTGAGGACGATTTATTTTCATTGAGATTTACAAGTTTTTAGGAAATATTGACAGAATTGGCTACTAAAACTTACCAGAGACCTAAATTATATTATATTTAATCTTATTTATGGCAACGGTCGAAACACCGGTTCCCGATAGATTGCGGAAGTTAAACGACGTTAGACGAGGCGAGACGATGGACGGATGACCATCTGGAAACTCATTCGTGCTGTTATTCCATGACAAGAGTGTAACTGTAATGACATACACTGCTCATTCGCGCCGGCGCGGCGGGCTCATTCGTTCGAGGCCGGATGACAGGCCGGATTATATCGGATATCTCGTGAGTAAGAGTCGATTTAGACACTTGCCAAGTCAGTAGGCCACTGACAATGATATAGTCGAGGACCGTGGTTCTGATTCCGCTTAAACAAAGTAGGCCCCGTCCAGATTGGCCTTAGCAGAAAAAAGGGACATTTACCTTGATTATGTGTTTAATTATTAGTCTAATCATGCATTGAAAGATGAGTACAAAACAAAATAAAAACAACGTGCAATTAAAAAAAATATATTTAATAGTTAAATCTAAAAACAACACGTACAAGCATAAACTTATTAGGACAAAATATGCAATTTAAAAATAAAATATATAAAATGTTTTCTTTGTGCAAAATATAAAATAAAACAATAACAAATAGCATTATTTCAGTAATAATAACTAGCAAGTTTGGCACATTAAAATAAAAGGAATAGTGTTAAATATGTAATCTTAATATAACAATATCTACAAATTTAATAAAAATACGGCAAAATACTTATACAAAACGTATCATTAAATTCAATTTTGAGCAAGTAGTTTTATAGGTAAATGAGAGTTGTTTTGGTCAAATCAATTTCTATGAAAAATCAGATTTTATTTTCTATGGCACTATCTATAATTTTTTTTTTAATTTTAAATCAGTTAATTAAAAATATACCGGGTGGTTTTCAAAAGTGGCTCGCCCGTTTAACTTTTTCATTTTTTTTCAAACAAAATAGCAAGAGCTGGTATGTTAGTATATGACATAAATCAGGATTGATTGACATATTCAATAACACCAAATCTCATTTTTTATCTCAAAAAATAAAAAGTTATTGAGGTAAATCATTTTTGAAAAACACCCGGTATAGGTGAGTATATAATTGCAAAAAAATGTAACTTCACTTTGTTCAAAAATAAATAAAATAAAGTCTAAGTAATAAAATAATATTTTTTTGATCATATAGTACATACAAGAATGCTTGAACTAGAAAAATACAGTTTCTTTTCATGTATGAAAAAAAGATAGGATTAATTAATTTGATTAAAAGAAAATTTATATCTATAATTAATATAAAGTTAGTGCATCTGAGGGGAACTAACTTTAAATTAATTAAGAGAAAATATAATTTTAATTATTTGATCAATTAATTATAAAATTTTATTGTTCTTGTAAACACTAATAGTAGTAGTGTATCGGAAAAATCCAAATAATGAGATTAAAGAATACTATAGAAATAAAAATAAAATTTAACTGAACATAAAGTTTTTAATTGTCTGCTTAGTAACACTCTTATAGCTGCTGTAGTTGCTCCAAGCGCCATCCTGTTCAAGCACACCTACCTCATTCATTCTCTTCAACAGCTCCTCATCATCAATATCAGCCAGTTCTCTTCCGGTTACAAAGCTTGATCCATCGCTTGTCTTTATAGTCTCTTCTCTAGTAGTAGAAGCTAAGAAAGAAAATGTTTTGGTAACATTTTTGAAGTGTTAGTAACTGCTAACAGTGATAACTCGAAAGATTAGTAGTTTGTGACATAAAAATATATTGTGACTACTGATTTATTAAACTAACCTTCAGCATCTTTATCTCGAACTGTCTCAGAAGTAAGAACGAAAGATTTCACTCCTAAAGTATGTTGTTGTTGTACTTTGATGTGAGTGGTTTCTGTCACTTCTCTGACTATCTTGCCTGGCGGTACCTCTGGTGAAGGTTTCAATACCTGAAACAATTTGATACAACTCCTTAAAATCACATTCTATTTAACATCTGTATAAACATTTCCCTCAAAAGAGAGATGATAAGTCTCTAGTCAGAACTTGTCATATTAATGAGTTGTATTTTGTGATCTCCTCAGGCAAATTAAAGTTCATAGTAGAACATTCAATTTTCATGGTAGACCTGATAAACAGAGAGACTGTCAAAGCTGTTGTGAGTCTACTAACAGAGCATTGTAAGCTTAATGAATATCTAAAACTGATGGGATTGACGAACGAAACCATGGGCAGATTTTGTCAATCTGCAGAAGAAACGACAGACCACATTTTATGTAAGTGCGACAGCCTGGTATGCCATTCTTTGTTCTAGGTAAGGAATAGGCCATTGACAAAATGAGCTATATTATGAAGAGTTCAGTCTCAAAGTTGCTAGATTTTTTGAAAATGATAGGACTGGAGAATGTAACATAGAGATCAAAAGAGAACCACAATAGCTGAAAAGGTCGCAGTGGAACAAAAATCTAAAATTTGTATAAGAATTTCTCTCAAAAGAGAGACAATAAATCTCTAGACTTCCTTATTATCTCCTCTTCAACAATGCTAACCAAGTGTTTAGATTCAGCTTAGAGCAAAGGTATAATATTTTAATTTTAATAGTTTGCTAGTAAGATTATATCACTATATAAAACAAGATAGATAGAGTGGATATAAATGTAGTAGGTAGTTGAAATATAATAAAAACATTGTAATCAATTTTTACCTCACTGACTGGTGGTAGCTCTCCTTCGGGAGGACATCCTACAGCCAAAACCATTTTTTCTTTGGCAATATTCTCTCTGGTTTCGTCTTTTCCATATTGCCACCATGGTGCGAAGTGCTGTTCGCATTCAGAAGCAGTATTGTATGAAGATGAACGAGAATGTTGCAGAGTCGTGTCGGAAGCAGTGAGAAATTCTTCGTCTGAGCGTACTTGGTCATCAGGTTTAAGGAACCGCTGTAACAGATAAGGAATTTGTGAGACTGTCATAGTAAAGTGTGGCAAATCGTTTATCATCAATATATGGTTTATAATTGCATTGGTGAGACACCGTGTGGTATATTTAGTAAGCACAACAATACGTCCAGTAACTCCAGAGATATAGACATCTCTGAGTAGCTTCTAAAATATAAATAACACGAGTGTTTCAAAATAAATATCAAGAATTCTTTGTATCTGTGCTTTAATATTTCGATGATTTATGATAAAGATAGTAGGTACTGCTTAGTGTCCTCTCCACTAATTATATAACCATCAGTTAATATAAAACGCAGATAGAAAGTCTTATGATTGAGAAATGTCAATTACAGCCTTTATGAGAACATTACTATTATATAAAAATTGCTCTTGCTCAGATATCTGCGTTCATTCTGCGTTCTTTTAAAAAAATTGGTAGCATTACTTTGTCAGAATCCTTTTTCTGTCTGTAGTTTCTTTTTTGTAATCTTGTTGAATATCGCCTGAATAAATTATAAAATCTCTTAGCTTCATTCAGAAGGTATAGTTCTTTTAATTTCAGTGTAATCATCTTAGGTTCTGAATAAAGCATAAAGTATAATAATTGAAACCACTAATTTATTCCACTAATTTTAAGGTTCCGAATGAGGCTTAAAGCTTCATTCAGAACCTCGAAATCTGTGGAATAAATTAGTGGTTTCAATTAGCCGTAGAAGTTTGTTCACCTAATTTTAATGTAAGCATTCAGAACGTCATAATTTGTGGTAGTAATTTTCATTTAGTGGAAAAAGTTAACAAACTTTTGACTTTTCCACTAATTATACTTCAAAATTTGCGAGGAATATCATTTTGGCCTTTGATTATCACCCGCCAAGAAAAATTTTGGTTAGAAATCGAAAGTTTATTGTTTTATAAGCTAATAAAACGTCATAATATTATGCTTTCTCTATAAATACAACAGACTACCGCAAGCTGTTGCTAGGATCTAGGATATTTTATTAATTTTAATTATTGTGTTTTTTAGACATTGTGAATGATCGTAAACTAAAAAGTATAATTGAAACCACTAATTTATTCCACTAATTGGGAGGTTCTGAATGAAGCTTTGCTCTAAAGGAAATTATGGTTTACATACCTGATATTGGTCTGGATTCTTATCCATACTGTCACTTTTCTTATGACTCAAAATATAATTATTGTTAATTTCAGGGAATATGTTCGAGGTTGACGTAGAAGTTGTCGAAAATACAATACAATCTTGCTGGGCACTTTTCAAAGCTATGTCTAGCTCTTCCGATAGCTGAGTGATTTCAGACAGTCTTTCCGATATGACTTCTATGGCAGTTTCATTGTTTTGGATTGAGTTTTGACAGAGTATCTGGAATTCTTCTTCGGTGGTGTGTTGTTGGGTGGAAGGAATGAAGAAACTAAAATAAGAAAATATATATTTACCGAAAATAGCTCAAATAAGAACATTATTTCTATTGTATTGTAACACGATTGACAACATTAACACACATTGATTGGTTTGGAAATGACGATCGATGACAGTCACCAATATCACCATACAGTGTTACAGATTTTTTATTTAGGTCTAATTTGACTTTAGCATTAGTTTTTACTACTCAACAGATTAAAAAACTATAACCTCTTGCTCAAATGTGCTTGAAGAAATTGCTTGAAGTGGCAATGGATAGGACATGTGGCAAGACAGGATCCAGACCGATGGCCCCAAAAAGTCATCCTATGGAGACCTAGCGGAACAACTAGAAGTGTGGGCCGACCAAAAAAGAGATGGGTCGATGACGTCAGGGCAGTGGCGGGAAGACAATGGATAAGATTGGCTAGAGATGGCGAAGCGTGAAAAAACCTAGAAGAGGCCTATGTCCAACACTGGATGGAACAAGGCTGAGAAAGAAGAACCTCTCTCGGAATCCGTCAAATTTAACATTTAAAAAAATAAATGGATAAAAAATGGGTTTAATGGAAGCATTTTGAAATACTTAATTGGAAAAGGTTGTTTCTTTTTTAATTTTACATAAGTGGATCCATTTTTAACTAGCCAGTAATTGTTAATCTAATTCAATGCAAAAACTATCGTTGGAGTCAAATTTCATGTATGGTATTTTTATTATTTTTAATAAATAATAAAAATCCCATATGATACCGACTTTATCTATGATACTCTATTATTTTGCATATAAAATGACAGCGATTTCCATTTCCCAGCCAACTCTGACGCCGATTTTTTCGATCGTATGATATAAGAAGGTAATATAAAATTTATCCAACAAGCCAGAGAAAAATACGACACCCAAAAAATAACAGATACAACTGTCAGAGATTATCCCGTTATACAGATTATACAGGGTGAGTTTTAAGTAAGTACAAATATTTTTAGGATTTTTTTCAAGAAAAAATTATTCGAAAAATTAGAATTTTTTGAAAAAAGTTTTGGATTTTTTTTTTTAATTTTAGTTAAAAAATAGAGCATCTTGATCATATGGCTACATATAGGTAGTAGATTAGATTAACAAGAAAGAAAACACAGAAAAGATCCAGTGGTCCTCAAAATTAAAGCATGAAATCATATCGTCCCATTGCTGCCAAAAGTAACTAACTAACATTTTTCCGAACAACCAAATTCAATCACTAACTATGTTTTGAAGCGGAGAATCGATTGCAAAAGTTATTAACTACGATTTCTGGCTATTTATGTTTTATTTTAATACCGAATAGTTACTAACTATAACATCTTTATGCAATGCAATTCATCTTTAGACGCATTTTTCTCGGAAGTAATAAAAAGTAAGTTAGTGACTTTTGGCAGCAATGGGACGATATGTACTGTACTGTCACAAATATTTGTGGTACTGTACTATATGGACGATAAGTAATATAGCTATTTAGAAAATGTTACAATACAGGTGTTTTTCAAAAGTGTCTCAACCCTATAACTTTTTATTTTTTTTTCATGTAAAAACTAGATTTGGTATGTTGGTACATATATGACATAAATCAGGATTGATTGACGTATTCAATTATTTTCGGTCACTTCCTGTTTTACCACCAAATGTCTACAACTTTTGATTTTTAAATGGTACCCACAGTATTTTTTACTTTATTTGATATAAAATGACATTTTGGATAGAACGATATATCATATGTAACTTAATAACATTAGACTATTAAATGTATTTTTCCAAGGGTACTTGATTAAAAATAAGTGATTTTAACATACCCATTGCACTGAAGATTGAAATTTAATATACTATTTTGTCAAGCGAAAATATCAAAAGTTGGCATATGATATGTCATTCTATTTAGGATGTCATTTTCTATCAAATAAAGTAAAAAGTGTTGAGAAAAAAAAGAAAGTGACCGAAAGTAATTGAATATGTCAAGCCATCCTGATTTATGTCATACACTAACATACCCGAATCTCGTTTTTTGATCAGAAAAAGTTATAGAAGTAAACCACTTTCGAAAAACACGGTATAGCTAAACTAATTATATTGTATACATCCAGAAATACCTAATTATCCTTTAAAATATGTCAAATAGCGCCTGCATAAATACTGAACTACTACAACATATAGCTATTCAAAACACCTCTGCATATGTTTCTTGCGTGGGTGTTCCTACTAGCGTAATTTTAGTTTTAAAATTAAATAACAGAATTTAAAATTAGAATTGGTAAAACGCTTGATTTATATATGGAACGTTGGAAATAAAACTTAGAGAAATACTTTAATTAGTCTTTTTTAAGTGTCTTTCTTATTTGTTTACTTACTGGGTGTTGGTTTGGTGTTGGGCTGATGCCGGTTTACTCACAACTAAAGTGGCGGTCCGACCCCGCTACTTAAAATTCAAAATTAGAAACGGAAAGTATATGAACTCTGGACGCGCTTTTTGATATGCCTTTCGTTTACTTTAGAGTTGGAATTCTTCATGTCGTGTTTTATTTGAACATACCAGAAGTGCCGAATATTTATAGAGAAATAATTATGAAAGTGTGTTATTATTGTAAAGTGTATAATTATTAATAACTAATTAAATAATAAACGTGTTATAATTAATTTTAAAAATGAAGAACGTTTTCCTGAACTTTCTAGATTGGATCATGAGTTGAGAATAAAACTCGTGAGTGTTATGTTTCTTAACACCAGCTTAATTATGCTACATAGAACAGCCATTTTCAGGTTCTTCACGTGCAATGCGGTATCACTCTTTAAGAGAATGCCGAAAATCCTGAAAAATTTGCCAATGTGATCGCCAACTTCCATCAAAAAGACGGCACGTAAAGAAGAAGATAATTTTGGTATTTTGCATAAAAATACGTATACAGGGTCCGGCAATAGTGCGTCGGGCATCTGCAGCTCCTAGAATGAAAAACTTGGGAATTTTGTTTAAGTGTAAACTTAAAGTATGTACAAGGATGTATCTCAGGAAAATATTTTAACTTCTATAAGATGACTCAAAAAAGTGTGAGTGGATAGCGATGATTTTGTTAAACGGAACACCCTGTATATTATTGCATTTTTGGCTTCCTTTCAAATCGCTTTACATAATCTTAAAATATGAGTAAATATATTTCAATAGTTTCAGAGTTATTAATAAATAAATAAAAATTCTTTTTTTTTCAGACTTCCTTAAAAAAATTATTACAAATACAAGAACTGTCCTAATATCAAAACTATACTAGGTATTTACTTGATATGGTCTGTACTTAACTTTGCTATAAATATCGTAATCTTAAATCATACAGGATGTTCAAAATCCTACGCCAAACTTTCTAAATTATAAAATAAATGTTCTTCGTTTTTTTTTAATGGAACGCCCTGTATATTATCTTTTTCTTGGATGGAGAATTAAAAATGAACAATTTTTATATTTAAAGTATTTCAAAATTTTTAATGATTTCGCAGATACACGCAGTATTATTTCATATGGCTCTCTCAACGGTAAAATACGAGAGAAAAATCATTGGGTGGCTTTGAAAAATGCCATATGAATGCCAAATTCACTAAGGAAAATGCCATATGAAATATAAAACCGCAAATATCTGCGAAACCGTTAAAATTTTTGAAATATTCTGAATACAAAAAATGTTTATTTTTTAATTCTCTATCTATTTAAAAAATAATATACAGTGTGTTCCATTTAAAAAAAACGAAGAAAAATTATTTTATATTTTAGAAAGGTTGGCGTAAAATGTTAAACATCCTGTATGATTAAGATTACCATATTTATAGCAAAGTTAAATACAGACCATCTAAACTAAAAACCTTATATAGTTTTGATTTCAGGATAGTTCTTGTAATTTCAATAACTTCTTTAAGAAAGGCATATATATTTTTTGTTTCTTTATTAATATCTCTTAAACTATCAAAATATATTTACTCATATCTTAGGATTATGTAAAGTGATCTGAAAAGAAGCTAAAAATGCAATAATATATAGGGTGTTCCATTTAAAAAAAAAATCATCCCGATCCACTCACACTTTTTTGAGCCACCCTATAGAAGTTAAAATATTTTCCTGAAATACATCCTTGTACATACTTTTGGTTTACACTTAAACAAAATTCCCAAGTTTTTTATTCTAGGTGCTACAGATGCCCGACGCACTATTGCCGGACCCTGTATACAAGAAATAAGAAATTCCATAGGGGAAAGTCTCCTTTAACGTACCGGCTCCAAAATCGTACCTCTTCAATATCGGGTTTATAATTGTATTGATGAGATACCTCGTAATATACTTAATAAGCCCACCAAGACTAGTAATACTCTAGTAATACCTAAATTTTTTTTTTTGTAGAACCAGTGCTTGAAGCAAAAACAGATATCAAAAATTCTTTGTATATGTGCTCTAATATTTCGATGAATGTAAAAATAACTCAGTTTGTACTAGTACGAATTAGTAAAGAAGCAGGTTGAATAAGGAATATTATGGTAGAATTGTAAGTAGGTATGTCAAATGCTACAAAAGGATTTTGGAAGTATTTTTATATTAGTTTCTTGTCTGAAATGTTTACAAAAATGCTGATTTGACCTACAAGACAGCCTGCAAATAGAACCGACAATAGTAGTCATAAAAGCAGATGAGTTTATGATATTTATTAAGTTAAAGCCTGGAGATTTTTAAACCACATCTGTATACTCATGTTTTTCCAACACATTGCTTCTTATGGAATTTTCTTTACTTTATATTTTTATTTTGGGCAAATGTGCTTCATCGTTAAATTTTGGAGGTTATATGCTTTTAAAGAAGTAGAAAAAAAAAACAGGTCTGTATTTAAAAAATATCTCAGAATCGAAATGTCAGATTGAAAATCTAATAACTCCGGTTTGTAGAACAGGAAAAGTAGTAATTTGTATTGTCATATGTTTTTAAACAGAGTCAGAAAAAATAAAAACCAAATCTGGAAAACTCAGTTTTTCGCAAATATCTTGAAGAATGACGTTAAAAGGTTTCAACGTTATAATGAATGGCGTTATAGGAATGACGTTATAATTTTTCTTTCGGTTTAAAAAATCTCTGCAGTGTGCAATTTTATGTGGGACACCAAGTATATTTTAGTTTATTTTCACGTTTAATTCATTTATACTTACGATTCTTCTTCATATAAAGGTTCTTTCAGTCTACTCCTCAACAACTTCCCTAACCTAACCATTCTTCCTACTTCCACCATCAGTTTTTCTCTTTCCTCAAAATACTGCTCAACCCTAGACCTCTTCTTACTCAAATTCATCAGAGGTATTGTAGCCACAGCTTCTCTCATATCCCTCAGCTGATTACACTGATCTTCAATTGATCTACAACGATTTATAAATTTAAACCGATTAAGAATTATTTTAGATGAATGAACAAACCTGTGAAAAACTGCCGATACTCTCAATCTAGTCATCTGCTCTTGACTGATGTAGATAATTCGTTCCCAGTAATTCTTTAATGTTTGGTATAAGCTTGTATGGCTATCTAATGGTAACTTGCAGGAATGCCTCAATACTAGAGCAGCGTTCAATAGCTGACAACCATAATTATATGTATCCTATAAAATTAAGAATAGAGATAAAATCAAAAATAAAATAATTTTAGTGCAATTAATCAGTATATCACCAAACACTGCAAGACGTACTTAAGACAAAATGCCCAGCATGTAAGACTCTTGCGGTCTTGCATTATTCTTTGACGTTCTTTATTTACAAATAATTTTTTATAGATAATAAAAAAAAAGAAATTTTTATTTACTTACTCCACTCTTCTGTCATTTATTAAATAAAAAATAATGGAAAAAGGTTTCTCTGTATCTATTGCGAGGCGATTATGTGATTTATGATAGCTGTCAATAATAAGCAATATTCGTATAAATCCTTTTTTGTCGATGTATACCGAATATTGCAATATTAGTTAGGGGGTCATGATTTTTTTAACCATTCAAATAAATATATTTTGTTATAAAAAGTTAATTATTTTTTTAATTTAATGCAAATAGTGTTTTCCCCACATTTTCTTAAAATTTTAAAGGAAGCAATGACCAATGACGATTTATTATACAGGGTGTCCCAGAAATAAGTGCCAGTATTTTAAGGGGTGGTAGATCTGGTGAAAAGAAACATTTTTTTCTTTCTACCATTTTTCAAATAAGTCCAAAATAACCGAGTTATTTTACTTTGAAAATTTAAACAAAAAATGCTTTTTTGCTTTAATTTTGAGAACCACTGGATTTTTTCTGGTTTTTCTTTCATGTATATTTAATCTACTACCTTTATTGCCATATTATCAAGAAATTATTTTTTTTTTAACTTAAAACTAAAAAAATTTCCAAAATTTTTTTCAAAAAATTCCAAATTTTAATTTTTTTTTTCGCAAAAAACTCATAAGCGTGTTTCTGAGGTCGAAATATACTACGAGTTAAAATACTTGCACTTACCTCTGGGACACCCTGTATATTGAAAAAAAAATTAATCAGACAAATATTGTTTCTTTCTTTAAAATCTCATTTGAATTAGCTTACCTAAATACTATTTATTTAAAGATTTTCTACTATATAAAAAATTCCTCTAATAAAGATTAGTTCAAAAGTGCAAGATTTGCAAGAGTCTTGCAGCCAGACCAAGACTACTTATTAGAGTCTTGATCTTGGTTTTGCATTTGCTCATCACTATTAACATCCGAGTAAATCAATTTCATAGTGCAATTTATAATTTAAAACTTATTATATTGGAGTAAAACATTTATGTACAAAATATTTATTTACTTTTGCAGTTTTTTGGAATATCTGGTGTTCCTCCTTCTGTGACTGTATCTCGTACACGCTGCAACCAACATGGCCATGATCACGTAACATCACTTTCAAGATATCCCCTAACCAAGCAACTGCCTGTTCAACATCCCTTTCGTACGTGTCAATTAGCGTCACTTGTTGCAGTGTCAATTTTTGCAATTCAACACTGTCACTAGAATATCAAAAACTCCTTTATTAATTTCTTAATAAAGATTTACTCTATCTATAAATAAATGGAAAGTTAAAATGAACCAAGATAATAATACAATTTCTTCCAGTTCTCTGTTTCGATTGCTCTAGTCTTGGTAATTAATTGTTACGCTTAATTCGTTTTTAATTGCTTGGCTAATTTAAATTGGCTAAATGCTCGGTCAGTACCAACCGAGCGTCTCCAGAAACGCTCAATTTGTAAATATTAGTTTAGCTTTAATCATCTGCTGATTAACATGATTAGCGAAACGCGCGACCAGAATTAAAAGTAAAGTGTTTTGGTGTACTTTGGTGAATTAGTGTTTTTATTTTACTGTTGTAACACCAAAAGTTCCAAACTCCAACTGTAATACATATTGGTTTGTTAAAATTTGTCCCATGTACAGACTTTTTAAACTCTAAAGCCTCATTCAGAACCTCGAAATTCCTGGTTTCTATTATACTTATTAGTTTACGATCATTAACATTGTCTAAAAAGATACAATTAAAATTAATAGAATATCCTAGCAACAGCCTGATGTAGTTATTTGTATCCATAGAAAATACATAATAACTAGCTTATAAAACAATAAACTTCTTGTTTCTAACCACCAATTTCCCTTGACGAATGAAAATCAAAGGCCAAAATGACATTACTCGCAAAGTTTCAAGTATCCGCCTTCGTTCAAAACCTCACACTTAGAGGAATAAACTAGCGTTTACAATTCGCGTTAAAGTTTGTTCCTTAAATTTCAACATTTTTCATTTAGAACGTCAACGTTCAGAACGTCAAAATTATTGGTAGACATTTTCAATTAGTAGAAAAAGTTATCAAACTTTTAACTTTTCCACTAATTATACCTCAAAATTTGCGAGAAATGTCATTTTGGCCTATGATTATCTTCCGTCAAGAGAAATTGTGGTTAGAAATCAAAAGTTGATTGTTTTATAAGCTAAATATTAGGCTTTCTCTATGGATACAACTGATTAACACAAGCAGTTGCTAGGATATTCTAATAACTCTAATTGTGTTTTTTAAACAATGTGAACTAAAAGGTATAAAGTGTAATTGAAACCACTAATTTATTCCACTAATTGCGTAATCCTGAATGAAGCTTATTAATTTATTATCAGTATTGTGGTCAATGTTTACCTGAAAATATTTTTTCTCGCCACAGTGGCATCCAACACATCTCTAATATTAACGATATCTTCACTGTAATCCGTATTAAGCTCCTGGCCCAAGGCATCCTTCACCGGCATGGATAACATATCCGATAATTTTTCACCTTCCTTTCTTAAGTCTTGCTCAATAGATTCTAGAGGAAAAAATGGATATTAGATCAAACATATTAATGAAAAACTTTTTTTTAATACCTAAATATGTTTGACTTTCTTGAAGCTTCTTTAATCTACTCGAAGCTCCATTGAAGTCGTTTACGTCACTACCCATAACCAGGGAATCGAATACTTCCCCAGTTTTGTCGAAGTATTCTGAGACTAAACGGAAGAATCTCAGAGAAGTAATCAGAACGTTCCTTCTTCTTTCTAATCTACAAAAATCGAATTATTAATATAAGTAGTAAAAAGTAAAGTCTTTTTTGTTAACGTCTCCATTTTTCTGCTAAGGCTAATATGGATGGGACCTAATTTGTTTACGCGGAATCCGAACTGCGCTCCTCGGACATATCATTGTAAATAGAAAGTGTAATTGTTAAAACCACTAATTTATTCCCCTAAGTTTGAGGTTCTGATTGAGGCTTAACTGATATTTATAATGTTTGAATATTTCAAGTATATAAGATAATATTAAGTTACCTTAATGCAAAACTTTTGCAAACAAAATCCATAAACTCCTTTTGAGAAATCAAGTCCTTATATTGTATAGTTGTATTTTCGTCATCAAGTTTTGAAAGTAGATTTATTTTATGCAATAATTCGGCATAAGAACCATAAGCCTCCCAACATTCGAGTTCTATTGCTTCATGTTCTCTTCTGAGTTCCTCAGCTGAGGCGACGTCATAGCCAACTTTTTGATGAGCATTTAGCAGTTGTTCAGCTGGTCCTACGAAGAATTGATCCATTGTCAAAAATCAACATATTTTCATATTTTGGAATGAAATTTTTATCCCGCTTTTGAGAAAATTTTCAAAACATTCATGAGCTCGAAAACTTGACCTCTTCTGGTATTATTAGAGAAAATCCGGATTTTTTTTCTCGCCCATGAATATTTTTAGACAAAACTTCAAAGTATTCATGAGTTCGAAAAAATTTCCGGAAATATTTTGACCTCTTCTGGCATCTACACAGAATATGGAATGGAAATCCTTCAACTTGAAGAAATTTCCTTGATTTATGTAAGAACATCGGATTGTCACGGGTTTTTTTAACAGGAGACAGTATCCTCAATGAACACGTCAGTAGATGCGAATAGCAGATTATGTGGGGAAAATGGGGAGGCACCAGAACACCTCATCACTGAGTACGCCGAGACGACCAAAAAATTTGGCACTGGATGTATACCATGATAGTAAGACCCATGATTACATATGGAGCAGTTGCTTGGTATATAAAACTAGACCAACGTACAGCAAGGCAAAACCTGTGCAAAGTACAGAGACTGGCATGTATCTGTATCACAGGTGCCATGAGAACATGTCCAACAGCAGCAATGAAGGTCATTTTAAACCTAACACCACTGCACATTGTCGTCGGTAGTTATGCCAATGCGACAATGATTAGAATGGTCATAGACGGAAACAGTACTGGAAGAATTTTTAGGTCAGGGGCTTGGAACACCCTCAAAAAGAAAATTCCACTTCTCCAACTCCCAGTGGATGACATACCAAGAATTTACAACTTTGAGAAACACCTCACTGTAGTATTGAGTAATAAAAAGGATTGGAAGGAAGAAACGCTTACTCAGCATATAAAAGACCATACCATAACGTGGTATACTGATGCTTCCAAAACCAAAGCAGGGACAGGGATAGGAGTATTTGGGCCGAAAACCAAATACTCCGAACCAATGGGCACCTACCCCAGTATCCTTCAGGCAGAAATTTACGCTATCGAAAGATGTGTACAATTTATCTTAGACAGGAACTATCGAAAACAGGCAAACACAAAATTGCCATCCTATCCGATAGTCATGCAGCACTAAACGCGCTCAACTCAGTAACCATCAATTCGAAGTTGGTCAAAGAATGCCTAGAGAAGCTCAACAAGTTGGGCAAAGAAAATAAAGTCCTCCTACTCTGGGTGTCTGCTCACCAAGGGATAGAAGGCAATGAAAAAGCAAATGATCTAGCTAGGAAAGGAACGAACACTACACTAACTGGACCAGAACCGTTCTGTTTTCCAAGCGGAAACCAGCTGAAAGCGGAACTGAACAATCTGGAAGACTCCAACCGCAACTTGGAATGGGTGTCCTCCAACGGTCTAAGACACTCGAAAAAGTTCCTCAGAACCTACGACCGAGAAAAATCAAAGGATTTCCTTGATTTAAGTAAAAACAATCTTCGGATTGTCCTAACAGGACACTGTCTCCTCAACGAACACCTCAATAGGCTGAAGCTGAGAAACAACGGCGAATGCAGATTCTGTGGGGAATGTGGGGAAACACCAGAACACCTCATCACTGAGTGCGCCGAGACGACGACCATTCGTGCCATGAACTTTGATACGGCTGATGTCAAGGATGGAGAGCTGGCCTCTATGGAGCCGTCTCAGATACTGGCTTTTGTTAAAGCCTTGAGACTGTATGATGAGTTATAACTGGTTATAGCTCAAAAAAGGGGAACACACAATAGATCTTTAGGGTCGCGGTGACTAACTCCCCTCCTAAACATTCTACATTCTACGCCGAGACGATAACCATTCGTGCTATTAACTTTGGTACGACTGATATCGGAGATTGAAAACTAACCTCTGCAGAATCGTCTCAGATACAAGCTTTTGACAAATTCCTGTAACTGTATGATGAGTTATAACTCAAGAAAATAGGACACAATAGATTTATAAAGTAGCGATGATTAACTTCCCCCCTCCCATACAATCTACCATCTACAATACTTAGTAAAGTTAATTAACAACTAATTAAAATTACTTATTTTACCTACCTAATATCCAATTAGTCACTTTGACAACGCCTGACTTCAAGACGCTCAAATCTTTGGTATCGACTAGATTCTTTTCGATATCTGACCAAGCAGATTCTATCAGTTGTTGTTGGTGCCTGATGTCGTTCACCACCCTGTGTATCTTCTCTATCGTATCAAGAGTGTCTTGAGGTGTAAAAATTTTATCTATATTCTCTATAGATAGTTTTCGTGTTCTGTTTTCGTATTCTATGTTTTGAACTAGTTCCTTTCCTAAAAAGAAATATGAGATATCGGCTGGTAGAACTTCGATATACTATATCTCATATCTCTAGTTCTGGGCATGAAACAAACACCGAATTTTAGAGAGTTAACTTGGGGCTTACCAGAACAATTTTTGTTTTATTAGAAATATTTTTTTTATTTTTGAATGTGATAAGATAAAATGATGATCCTAAATATTTCTTTATAATTCTTGTCCTTTAATTATTTTTTAAATTACCCCTATTTCTCTAATGCTCATTCAGTATAAATAGAAAAAAGTAAATAAAATATATAAATAATGGATCTACTAGTCTATTATATTGACAATAAACAATAGGACGTAAAATAGGACAAATTGTTTTTATAACTTTGTCAACATAAATTTTAGTTGCTGTTCATATTTCTGGCCATGCACTTTAAGCAATAATAAAACAAGTAACGTATGTGTATTAATGTTCGTTATTATTACTGGATATACCAGGTGTTTCTTAAAAGTGGCTTACCCCTATAACATTTTTATTTTTTTCAGGCAAAAAATATGATATATGATATATATGTGATATAAAGCAGGATTGATTGACCTTTTCAATTATTTTGGGTCACTTCCTATTTCACCGGAAATTACTATAACTTATATTTAAACGGAAACCTCTGCATTTTTTTACTTTATTCTATAGGAATTTTATAGGATCCTGAATAAAATGATATCTCTTATGTCAACTTTTGACATTTTTTCTTTAAATTTCAAACTAGAGTGGCATGGCTGTGTTCATAGCGACAATTTGACTGGAAATACCAAGTATGTGGTGCCAAATTATTCATAAAAAGATTTTTTCCAAATAGGCCAATGAGCCTTATTTTAACCTACACCTTAGTTCCGTTAAAAAATTGAGTTATGATTGAAAATACGTTTTGGAGATCTTTAACCGATAAGGAAAGTCACTAAAAACATTAGATGATAAAATGTATTTTTCCAGGGCCCCTTGATTAAAAATCAGTAGTTTTAACACAGCATTGAAATTTAATAATAAAATTTTTGAGAAAACACCAAACCAAACACTTTTCTGGTGTAAACAAGATTTCTTTAGTGTGCCTTATATGGGACACCCTATATATTGTTGCTATAAATTATAAATATATTTTACCTGTTTCTATAACGTTGTGTACCAGCATTTTAGTGGCTTCCGACATATCCGAACTGATATTTATAGCTTCCTCTACTTGACTAGCTCTAAGCGCCCTACTTCTCAAAACATGCCGGTATAGTTCCTGCAGTTCCTTGATGGTCACCTCGGCATCTTTGTAAAATTCTTCCACTTTCTATAATAAACATACCATAAAATTATAATTTAATAAAAAAATGTCACAGTAGGTTTTGAAAAACCTAATTGATTTCTATCCAGCTGATCCCAGGTTTATTAAAAACTGAGAGAAAAATTCGATTTGATCATCGATTCTTATTTTAAACTATATGACATCGTTTTTTTTTTCAGTTGTATAGTACTTATATTTTAAGACACAAATAATTTAAATAATTAAAATGATTCCGTGTAGCTGATACACACTATAGTTGCGGAACGATCAACAATAATTATTGAAATAGTTGGCAATACTCAAGGCAATGCGGTGTTAAGGTGCGTACTCACTAGAGCATTTTGATCCGAACGAACCAAGCGAGCCGAGCGCGCACGAACGAACTCAATAAAGAAAAGATCGCGATGTTCAGAGTGCTTGTTGCGTTCGCTGTATTTCGACGTTCAGTTGTATTTAATTTTTATTCGCGCTTTGAATCTCTAGGTCACCGTTCTGCATCGAATGAGTTAATGGACCCGGAAGATGCTATTATCGCTGCTGGTGCTTTTTTCGTTATACAAAACATTACCAATAACAAACTTTTAATTTCTCGTTGTCTTCTATATTTAATATTCGTAGTTTGGTAATTTCATTAATTTTATATGCTTACCTGAGTTAGAACAAATTAACAGTGTACCCGAAAATGCAATGGTTCAGTCGCTGGAAATATTTAAAAATTTGACACATGCCAAAATTTTCCATGTAAATAAAAAACAAGCTGTAAAGCCTGTTTTTTTTTTAATAAAAATTTAAAATGTCAAATTTTTCACGTGATTGCTTCTTTACAGCTAGGTTAGAAATCATGTGACATTTTCCAAATATTTCCATTAAAAAAATAAGCTTTATTGTTATATTCGTTATAATATGTGTAAATGTACCTTTTCCCGTTCCAATAGATTTTTTTCCTTTCGCCTTCTCCCTTCTGAAACTTGCCAGAAGACTTTCAATTTTTTTCTTTGCTTCTCCAGAAGCACATCCCATAATCTCATCTATCTGCCTCCACGCATCAAACTTCTTAACATTATTATAGTATAATCCATCCTTTGGATTCTCCAATGCACTGGATATTGTTCATAAATGTCTATTAACTGAAGGCACTTTTCTCTATTCCACTCCATTTCGTTTGAGCAAAGAAAAATCAAAACATTGAAAATTTTTAGCCGCGAATGCTCCGAATAGGACGAACACCATGAACGCAACAAACCTCCGTACCCACTGAACAACGCATCCCCTTTGAGCAAAATGCATATACCGACAAGCCGGCGAAAATGTTTGGCGCGCTCGGTTCGTGAGTACGCACCTTTAGAGGATTAGCGTTTGATACTGATGCTAAAACAAGATGTCTTTTTCTTGGGAATTTAAATGTTTTGACTTTGTTTTACAGTATGTCCGCCGATTGTCTTTACAAGAGGAAAAACTTTTTTATTGTTGACATTTTGAGAAAAATACATTTTTCATCAAAATTTTTCCTTGTTCTAAAATGGTTAATCCTGTTCCTGTTTATACTTTTCCAAATTTCCATACCGTTTTAGAGAAAATTAAAAAAAAAACCACGAAAATATAGTTGAAAAGTCCTAAAAATCAAAAATGCGTTTCTGTGGTAATACAAATTCGCTTTCATTCTATGATAGATTGTTACAGATTGTTATTCATATAATTTTAATTAACGTAATTTTTTTTGCTGTTTTAAACTGTTAAAAGTACGAAATTTATTTAATTAGCGTTTTATTATCAAAATTTATCATGAGCTCGTAGCATAACCTCTACCTATGTTGTAATACACTTGTTCAATTATTAAATTAGAAAACCAAATTAAATCCATTTATTTCCCATTTCGTTTTGATTAGCCTCACATTATTATGTAAAACGAATTTAAATATTGTCAAAGAATTAATCATATTATTTAATTTTTGGTTTGTTTCGACGATACAAGCTAAATCAGATCAGCCAAATAATTCATTCATTGTTGTAATTCATTATCGCTACGTATAATGTAAAGAGTTTTAAAACTAAAGAAATAAAAGGTAAAATCATGATTTTATACATCAACTTGTTAAGAGTTCTTTTACTTTCTACAAATAATAAGGAAATAATTTCACACAGTAAACATACACTACGTGCTTCCTTATGTATATTTCAAATTAAAGGATTAAAAGAAATTAAATTAGTTACTTGATCTTCTAATGGGATAATCAGAAGTCTGTAAAAGCTTAAAGTAAAAACAAGTTAATCAAACAGTGTATTAAACCATTTTCAGATTATTATCAAAAGGTGTATGATATAATTTTCTAGTTTCAGAGAATATTGATTAATTCATAAGACATTTAATGAGCTATTTGCATCCTTAATAAGGAAGTTTAGAAGATTAGCTGGTGTAATCCCACGCAAGATCAATAACCTTGTAGAAGGAGAAAAAGAAATAAAAATAATTTGTGTATTTTCTACAATAAATACACGGAATACTAGTTTATTTATCATAAATAGTTAGTTTTATTCTTAATTTTCTCTAAAAAGGTATGGAAATTTGGAAAAATATAAACGGGATTAACCATTTTATAACAAGGAAAATAAGAAATTTGAAACAAAAAACACAAATTATTTTTATCGATAACCACGTTTTAACATTTTTTAACTGCTAAACCTAACGGTATTTGAGACGGAACTTGAATGATTTTACTCTTCAACTTTTACTACCTACAGGTGCTTAGGTTGTCTTCTGTCAATATACACCGTCACAGACGTATGTTTCATGTTTGAATAAATAACAAAAAATCAACATTCTCGTTTCTTGACCACAAGTCTGCTGTAAAATGAGTAGACTTTGAAAGCTATTCTTTCTGTCAGGTAACGGTATTCAAGTGGTAAAGCTTATAAAGATGTTTAATCTTTTTTAACTAATATTTAATATAGTTTGGCCCACGTGACATTTGAAGGGTCCCGAGGAATAACTTGATAAGCGCCAATTTCTCAATTTTAGGATTTTACAATATTATAGTAGGTCTAACTGGTCCCTACAAAATGTATATCACTTACATATAATTTTTAACACCCTGTATGATTTAAGATTACGCAATTTATAGAAAAGTAAATATAGACCATCTAAAAGTTAAGCATTTACTTTTAGGTTTGATTTCAGGATAGTTAGGTTAGGTTAATATTTTTTTTAAGAAAGGCTGAAAAATATATATTTTTTATTTATTTATTAATATGTCTGAAACAATCGAAATATATTTAATCATATCTTAGAAATATGTAACACATAATGTATGTGATCCGAAAGGAAGCCAAAAATGCAATAATATACAGGGTATTCTATTTAAAAAAAATCGTCCCGATCCACTCACAAATTTTTGAGCCACCCTATAAAAGTTAAAATATTTTCCTGAAATACATCCCAGTACATACTCTAGGTTTGCACTTAAACAAAATTCTCAAGTTTTTTATTCTAGGAGCTACAGATGACCTCTACAGACGCACTCTTGCCGGACCCTGTATACATAATTTGTTTTTTTAAAGAATGGTTCAGCTCAAAAAATAAAAAAAAATAATGTCAAAAGCCTGTGAAAATTTGAACAAAATTAAATGTTAACACTCCATCATTTTCCTTTCAATTGGTATTTAATTGACAAAAATATATTATGATAAAATGTGTAATAATCGATTACGGACCTGTCTGTTTTCGATCCATTTCTCATGGTCGTAATTGACGGTGCCGCCCAATGCGACAGGAAGCTGTGACTGGTCCACGAACTTGTTTATCCGCGATCTTGGGATAAAGATGACCTAAAAATGGTAACGTCATCGATAAGAAACACCTGGACATATTTATAGGCATCCAAAAAAAATCGTCACTAATATTTCTTATACAAATCTTCAGTATATTTTTTAAGAATTTTGGTGCTATTTTTTACTAATTAATATACAGAGTGTCTCTTAAATACGCGCGAATATTTTAACTAGTTAGATTAGATTAGATTTTTGAGGTGGCCTATTGGCAATTCGCCTGTTCCACCGCGACCTTTTCAAATGTATTGAGGTCTTCTTTTGATAGTTGATTCAATTGTTTTTGGTCACTTCCTGTTTCACGGGAAATGACTTCAACTTTTGATTTTTAAATGCACTCTCGGTATATTTTACTCTATTCGATAGAAAATGACATTCTAAATAGAATGACATATCATATGTCAATTTTTGACATTTTCGCTTAAAAACAAATCGTATTTAAAATTTCAATCTAGAGTGCCATGGCTGCGTTAAAAACACTAATTTTTAATCAAGGAGCCTTGGAAAAATAGATTTGATCATTTAATGTTTTTCCTGTCTTGTGCTGACCGGTTAAAAGATGCCTTAATTAAGTATTATTTTTAATCATATCTGAATTTTTTCAAAAGAGTGGCTCATTAGCATATTTGGAAAAAGCTTTTTTTTACGAAACATCTGGTACCATACACTCTTGGTATTTCGAGTCAAATTGTCGTTATGAACAGCATGTTACAATTTCAAATAAACCATATGCGAAAATGTCAAAAGTTGACAGTCATTCTACTCAGAGTGTCATTTGCTATCGACTAAAGTCAAAATTAACCGAGGGTGCAATTTAAAAATCAAAAGTTGTAGCCGGGTGCCATTTGAAAATCAAAAGTTGTAACCATTTCCGGTGAAACAGGAAGTAGCCGAAAACAATTGAATACATCAATCAATCCTAATTTATGTCATATAATAACATACCAAATCTCGTTTTTTTTTTATCTGAAAAAATAAAAAAGTTATAGAAGTGAGCCACTTTCGAGACGCACCCGCTATAAGTAATATAATAATTATTAATACCCATAGAAAACAAAGATTTTTTTTAGATAATAATGTGATTCAAGAATAAGTAGTAACATTATCGATGAGACTATTAAAGGATAAAAAAGATATGTACCTCGTGGTCCTTCTGAGTCGAAGTGCAATTCTCCACTCTTTGCTTATCCCAAAATCCATCAGGTTTTATTACAATAACCCTGTTCTTCTCACTGGGTTGGAGCACTTCGGTAACCTGTTTCATATAAGTCTTGTAAGATTTCCATGGTGCTTTTCTTGTATCGATCAAAACTGTGAGGCCCTTATTTTTTGTAGAATCGCTGCAAAATAGAAGGTATATGGCAAATTTGAATCCATAGATAAAGAAGGTATCTTACAAATAATCCCAAGTTTTAAAAGTAAAATGCACAGTAAAGAAAATCCAATCGATTTGACAGTTGTTATCATTTGTTCTCTAATTTTTTTTATTTTCATTTCGATTTAAATTTTTTCTATATAGTTCAATAATGTTTCTAGATTTGAATATTATGCTATTTTCCACTATTTTCTGTTGAATTTTCTATTCTATAAAACCTAGTTTATTTATCTGCAGGACAGACGCGTCTCTGAGTAGAATAGCTGGTGTTCAATTTTTTTATACCTAAGAATATAATATGTTTAATGCAAATATTTTATTAAAAGTTTATATTTTAGTAACCTGATCATATTTAAGAATCTGTTCACAAGAAACTTAAACTGGACTATGAAAATTATATCGTTACTTCCACTGTCACTATCAGTTTAAAATATCTCGCCTGTCGAATGTTCATTGGATAGATTAGATTTTAATTGTAACTTTACAATGAATATTATAATATCATCTTATAGTTTATGGATTATCGCTAGCCAAAGTTCTTTAATTTAGATATTGGCTCACTCACGCATCATTAAAATTTTAAGGTGCTTCAAATTTTCAATTTTAGTTAGAGTTTAGCCTATACAGGGTGAGTCTTAAATCAGTGCAAATATTTTCAGGGCTGGTAGACCTCGATAAAAAAAAACATATTTACCCTTTACCGTTTTTCAATTAAGTCCAAAATAATCGTTGAAATTTTAAAAAAATGAGAGCCACCGGATTTCTGCATTTGCATCCCTTTTAGTGCCGTAACCATAAAACATAAAATAAAGCTGTAACCATAGTAATATTAGAGATTATTAAATTATACCGTGGGAAAATCAGGCAGTTCTAAAAAATTTCTAAAATATACAGGAAAATTTAAAAGAAAAGCGATCTCTTTTTTGCGAAAAAAAACGTGTCAAATTTAACACCCCTAAAAATATTTGCACTTATTTAAGGCTAACCCTGTATAGGAAGGACAAAATAAAAAAATTTCGGTTTTATTATTCATCAAATAAATATAATGATTATTAAATGTCATGCTTTTAGCCACTATCGGTAACTTTCCTGTCAATATCTTGTCAAGCAAATTATTCCTTTGCAATAAAATTATGCTATGATGTCCTTTAATTATTTATCCAAACCAAAATTTAACCTCTTCAAAATTGTTGAACGATCCTAGTTACATTAACACCTTGTATTTATTATTTTATGCATTAACCTACAAATGAATATCCTGAAAATTACAGAGACGCCCATTCCATAGATGATTGTAGGTGTGTGTGAAACAAAAACAAAGCAGTACAGTTACTTGTCTTTGTTATTTCACCGAAATAAAAATGGTCACTTTTCCCAAAGAATCTTAATTGAGATAAGACAGATTTCGATTATACATAGAACTTTCTCTCGCAAGAGAGAGAACTTATTTTCACTCAATGTCCTGTTTTTGGAACAAATGTATTTCTCTCGCATTACTCTTATAAAAAAAACCGTTAAATTATGATTTATATCGGCACAAGTTTGATAAACACTCTGTATGAATGCCTGAAGAAAGTATACAGTTTAATTTTGCATTTTTTCTCGTCTTGATATGGAGTTGCTGATCTTAATTCTTCAGTGAAAGTCCATTTAGAGAAAAAAATATTAATATTTTTTTTAAGTCTTTTTGGAAAGTCGTGAACTAATGTCAATTCAGATGCATTTAAAATAGAATTATTATGGGTATAATAAAATAGTCTGCTATTGTCTGTTAGTATTTAGATATACAGAGTGGCATTTTGAAAAGTAATCTGGAATGTTACTTAACATAAAACACTAAAACCTGTTCAACGAGTCAGAAAAAAGATTGACAAACATCCCAAAAATGGCAGAGAATAGCAAATTAATAGCAGTCTCACAATGCAGTTCTTCCATTACAAAAAAGTTGTTAGATCTCATTTAAACCCAAGTCAGATTTATTTAGTGGTTTGTGGAAGCACTTTTTTAATAACTTTGATATAAATTAATAATCTAATAAATTACCTATCAACATTTGTAGTGAAAGAAAAATTAAATGAGTGAAAATTTGATATGACACATTGAATTTTAAAATCAAGATATTCAAAGCAGTCAAAAAATGAGAGAATTACTTAAAAAAGTTAAAACCGCAGCAATAAGAACTTATTCTTGCAACTTCATGTCGATTTGGTATAATACATCAGTCACCGGTATCGGCTAGATGCTTGGATTTTTTCCTTTCTTCACGCGGTAAACGCTAACTGATTTTTTTTTTAAGTTTCTCATACTTCTAGAAGAAGTGATAATTCACAATCTATAAGGTATAATTAATAAATGTATTGGCAATATAGCTAGTTATAATATGCGCTCGTAGTCACTAAAAAATATAATTCTTGCTTTATCCATAAGGAAGTTACAGGGAAGTCAAAACTGCCGTGAATTGCTTAGGGAAAGGGTACCACTGTACCCGACTTGACAGGGGGGCACTGTCAGGCTTTCGGATGTAATAAAAGTAACACAAAGAATAGCATAAATCAATCAGGACATTGAGAACACTTGAATATAAAAGAGCAAGATGCAAGTCACCTAAAAGATGTGGTTACATACACAGCTTATCAGCTTTTATGAAGCTTGTATTTCTCTTACAGGTCTATTTTCCATACCTGTAGCCTATTTTTGACCACTCGCATCTTTAAATGTTACTCCCGCATCTCCGAGAAAGCCCTATAATAATACATATACGCAAAGTTGCGAATCATGTCAAGAAAAGGTACCCTAACTGGCCGTTAAATTTATTCTCTCAAGACGCACACGTTCATACAGGTGGTGATCCGTTATTTTCACTGCATTTTTGTAATAGCGACACCTGTCGTCTTCATTTAGACCCATTCTTTTTTAATTAATATTATGTTTATAAATAAGTAATGAGTATGTGGATTAGTATATAAATAAATGATTTTATTACATACTGTATCGTAAAACACGCCTTTATATACTTGATTTTAGTCGGTTATTTTTAATGAACTAAGCTTGTAATTTTTACTAATGGTCTAGGCCTCTCTTGTTCATACCGTCCTGATAATTTTCTTCTATCAACCCTGTATATAGTCTCGTTAGATATCTCAAAAATAAAGGAGATTATTTAAAAACAAATAAAATCCTTTTACTCTCAGTGCCAGTCCACCAGGCATCAGGGATAGAAGATAATGAAAAAGCAAACGATCTACCAAGAAAAGGAGCGGACTAGCTCCACTAACTGGATCAAAACCGTTTTGCTTCCCAAACCAAACCAAACCAACTTGAAGCGGAACTTAAGAGCCTGGAAAACTATTTATAACCTAGATGGGATCATCCAAGGGCCTAAAGCCGGGTTGTCACTGCGCGAAACTGTTTCACGAAAAAAATTTTCGCGAGAAATGTTTCGCGAGTGTGTTTCGGACAACGAACATACGTTTCGTGGTCCAAGCGGAAACAAGTGGTGAGCCGCCAGTTTGCGCGAGACGATTATTCTTGGTCCATTTCTGGCGCGAAACACACGAGGCACGTTCACACTCTGAGCAACACGGAAGACGAAGGTCTTTTGATGCGCCAACGAAAACCGACTGACGCTAGCTCACTTCGAAACATATTCGCGAAACGAGTTTCGGGGTGAGAACGAAGTATACATGAAGCGAGGCTAGTTTCGCGCAGTGACAAACCGGCTTAAGACATTTGAAGAACTTACGACCGAGAATAATCAAAGATACTCCTTCTCCTTGATTTAAGTAAGAAGAATCTTGGCACGGGGTTTTTGACAGGACACTGTCTTCTCAGTAGATTGAAACTCTGAAAAAATGGCGAATGCAGATTCCGTGGAGAAGATGGGGAAACACTTGAACGCCTTATCACTAAGTATGCCGAGACAACAACCAATGATTGAGAACTAGTCTCTGTAAAACCGCCTCAGATACTGGCTTTAGGCAAAGCCCTAAGACTGTATGATGAGTTATAACTCAATAAAGGGGGCCACAATAGATCGCGGTGATTAACTCCCTCCCTTCCACACAATCTACGTCTACGTCTAATCTTCAAAGCCACTTTATCAGCTTTTTAAATTAAGTAAATTCCTTAAATAACACTGTTTTTTAGTGACTCGACTTTGGCATAAATAAAATTAGAATAGTTGCATTTCGTGGATATCCCAAAGCATTCTGCACGAAACTGAAATTTTAGGTCAATCTTGGAAATGTTTCCACCAGTAAATACAATAATATCCAAAACATACAGAAACTAGGGTGACCAGACGTCAGGATAAAGCCGGACATGTCCGGCTTTTTCGCTTAAATGAAAACGTCAGGCCGGCTTTTTGTCGTGTCCGGCTTTTTATCAATCGAAAATTCTAAATAACTAAAAACGCACATTATCATTATTCCTGGTTCCGACTTTCTCAAGCTGGCAACGCCAAACTCTGAACATCTCAGTATTACTGTAAAGTAAGTAATTTTTTTTTACAGGACTTATAACGTAAACATTTATTATTGTTTTGTGATTTACCTAAATATGGAAAGTAGGTACTGTAGTGGTGCTGTTATATCTGATAAAGTTGGTTCTGTGGGTATGACTATCAAAATGATAGGTCGGTTTTCTTTATCACAGGATCCAGGAAGATTTATCTGTGGTTTTCCTTCTAAGCAGGATAGATCTAGTAGCCGAACTTCCATACCCTAAAAAACAGAAAAAATATTTAAATTGTTACTCCTTTGTATGATTCATCGGAAAACAATGCAAAAATATTTACGGTCAGGTAGAATTTGTTATGTAAGAGGATCGAAGACGAGTCAGTCAGTAGTCAGTAATAGGCAAGCCGGCTGTAAACTGTAAAGTTATGTTTTGTCACATATTCGGTGGTTTTGTGTCTTATAGTTTGAGTTTATCGATTGATTATTGCACGTATCGATTGATTATTGCAGAAAACCTCAACCTTGTCTTCGAGTTCGTACTTGTGAGTTACTAGGGGTCGCGGATTGACGATAGAAATTAAGCCTTATGGATTGGTCCCTCCAATTAACCTTATCGATTGGGATACGAAACTGTTTAGCGGCAGATTTGCGTCCGTGCAAAGTCCGGGGGAGCCTCTAGTCATTTCGGTGATGAAGAGAATTTTTCAATAGATCCGACTAAAGCTTGTCGCGCACTTAGCCGAACCAAAATGAAACGAGCAGAACGAAAAAAAAATCGGCCGAAATAAAAGCATACAATTTAATTAAGGAAGACACACTATGCCGTACGAAAGAAGTACGGAAAATTCTCATGTTTGGGCCCTGGAAAGACCCCGCTAGGGTGTTTAAGAGTTAAATCTATTATATAATACTTTCAACTTGAATTCTATCAGAGGTTTACCAAAATGTAGCTACAAATGCAACAAAGATTGTAAATTCGAAATAAAGATAATTAGCAAAACAAGACAACTAAAAGTGCATTACTAAAAGCTCTTTAAACTATTATCTTTTTTATAACGGATAAAATAACTATCCTGTTCAACTTATTCCATTACTATTTCTAAACCTTTAACATTATCCTAGTACCTGCTTTATCTTAAATTATGTTCTTAACAAAAAAACATTGACGCCGATTTACTGTTATGGCTTTAAAAGAAATGATTTTTACCTCTTACTGTAGCTGATACGAGGGCTAGATAAAATGTTAGCTTTGGATAGATAGTCTAGCCTTGAATAAAAATAGTAAGAAAGGAGTATAATGTTATCCGTTATCCATGTAGTCGTACATAGACGGAATCGACATCATGATCCTCCATTTTGACAGTTCTGATTTGATTGGCCTTTCCTTTGACACATTTGATTTTTGCGGATATGTTGTGCTTTTCTGAGCTTATTTTATGTGATTTATAATTTATTCTACAATTGATTTTGTTTGGAGATAGCAAATCTAGAAGAGGATATTGTATTAAAATTAACAGGGACATTATTGCGACATTTTCCAGAAAAAGCCTAATAGTTGGCTGTGCAGCGTGCGGTAGACCCCTGTGATACATCGAGATAAATAAGGGAATAATTTTCACCTGTAAGTAACTACCGTATGATCGAATAAAAACGGCGTCAACGATGGTTTGGTTGGCTATGAAATGACGATCGATGATAACTCAGTCTCTCGGGGTTTTGACAAAAACCAGTACCTGAGACGGCTTTACAGAGGTTAGTTCTCCATCTCCGATGTCAGTTGTATCAAAGTTTATGGCACGAATCATTGTCGTCTCGGCGCACTCAGTGATGAGGCGTACTGGGGTTTCTCCATTTTCTTTTATTTTTCTCGGTAGTAAACCCTGAGAAATATCTTTTAGTGTCTTAGATCGTTGGAGAATTCCTATTCCAGGTTACGGATGGAGTTTTCCAGGTTCTTGAGTTCTGCTTTAAGTTTGTTTCCACTCGGAAAGCAGAACGGTTCTGGTTCAATAAGTAGAGTGTTTAGATCGTTTGCTTTTTCATTACCTTCTATCTCTTGGTGGGATGAAACCCAGAATAGATGGACTTTATTTTCTTTGCATAATTTGTTCGGCATTCTTTGACCAACTTCGAATTGATGGTTACTGAGTTGATCCCATTTAATGCTGCTGGACTATAGGATAAGATTACTATTTCTTGTTTCTGATAGTTCCTATCTAAGATAAGTTGTATGCATCTGTCGATAGCGTAGAATTCTGTCTTAAGAATGTTGGGGTAGGTGTCCCTTGATTCAGAGTATTTAGTTTTCGGCCTAAATATTCCTATCCCTGTTCCTGCTTTAATTTTAGAAGCATCGGTACACAGTGAGGTGCTCATCAAAGTTGTACAGTATGTGTATATGGTATGTCATCCACTGGGAGTTGGAGGAGTGGTATTTTCCTTTATTGTCTGTGTTAGTAATCATTTCTCATTCCAATTACCTTTAAAATCCCCCCCCCCAAAAAAAATATTTTCCAGTTGTTTATTTGCCAACAAAAGACACATTTTTTGCACAATTAATTTATTTTACTAAAAGAAGTTTTTGCCATGCCTTTGTATATACATATTTTTCACATTATTCTTATCTATACATTTAAATATTGTATTTTGAAAAAAATTACATACATTAACATATGGTTGTGATTTCAAGTTTATGTAGAGCAAAATGGGCAAGACCAAGTATAAATTATTAATTTATTCCGATTAGATAAATAAAATTAGACGGTACATAAATAAACAAATGCCGAGAAAATTCAAACGTGACTGCACCTACCACGTTTGGCGCATATTTAATTAGTGCTATTAACATTGCCAGTGTTTAAATTCGTTTTTATCTATCTCATCCATATTAATACGGTCGTTTACGTAATATAATTGGTCTGTACTTTCAGAATTATTATTGGATAAAATAGATAATGCGGGATTTACACTTGGATATATTATTTAATTGTGATTTATTTTGTCTCTGTGAACTGGGTGTTGAAAGTTAAAAAATGTCAGTTAAAACTTCGGTTTTTAATCATCTGCTAATAATGCTAACATGGTTAGCGAAACGTGCGTCCAGTGTTAAAGTAAAGTGTTTTGGTGTATTGTGGTGAATTAGTGTTTTATTTTGCTGTGTAACACCAAAGGTTCCAACCCCCAACTGTAACGTATAAAGTATCAGAACAATGATGGTTTACAAATGAATGATTATATTAGAAATATTTGGGAAGTTGTATATTAAAAGATTTGTTTACTACTTGGTGCTCTATTGATTGTTGAAAAGATCACTTCTTGATACAACTAGTGACATTTACCTTCTCTAAAATAGGTGTGATGGTACAAGGTTATAGTAGGAGGAATATAATTTATTCAAGTATTTATATTACTTGAATATAAATAAAATGTTGACAAATAAATTTCAAAGATGTGTGTCTGTAATTTTATTTTAATTCTGGCAACAATAAAATAGCACTAGTCCACTAGTTCACCACAATGAAGCAAAACAATAATATTTTGCACACTGGACGCGCGTTTTACTAACAATGTCAGCATCATCAGTAGTTGATATTTTGTTTGAGGATTATATTATATTTCTGTCATTAGTTAATGATGCTAACATAGTTAGCAAAACATGCGTGCAGAATTAAGAATAAAGTGTTACGGGGTTACGGTGTCAAATGAAAACTAAAGAATTTAGCTGGGGATGGTACATTTGGCGTTACAACAGCTAAATACAACACTACTTCACCACAATTTTAATATTCTGTTGATTTGGTACAAACATGGTGAGCGAAACGCGCGTCCAGTGTTAAATATAAAATGTTTTGGTGAATTGTAGTGAGTTAGTGTTTTCTTTTGTTATCAAAACTGAATGGAACTTTTAATATCATTAATTCACCAAAATAATAATGGGAAACTTCCAAAATTTTCAATAACTAAATTTATAATTTTAATTTGGATTATTATTAAGTATTTTTTGATAATTTTAAATAATTTATTAATGTGACTTTTTTAAAATATAATTATTTACCTTGCCAAATATAGGTGAGAGTCCTACAAGATAGCCACATTTGAAAAAAAATACAAGTGAATGTATAAGTGTCGGTCGTTCGACATTCTCCGTGCGATCGCGTCAAATCGGTTCGTCCGGTACCACTTTACGCGCGTTTTACCTTCGCGGTACAAGCCATGGTACTGCCTGATTGGAGCGTACCTCGTGGTTAGTTCCGAGATACCACGCTCCTGTTGCCACATCCACTAGATTTTCTATAAAATTCACTCTTGGAATGGAATAAAAATGTAGACATTTTTAGACTCATTTACAGAATCTCATTTCTAGCTTTAATTGATTCATGGCTTTGTGGAACTGGATTAACTTATGTCCTACAAACTTCGTGGATAAAGCTTTGCTATAAGTTATTACACGCAACATTATTTCTATGAGTACAACTTATATTTTTTACTCTTTCTAGAACAAGGTTAACGTATAAACGCTATCCTTGTCTCCTTATGAGCTATTTTTTAGAGAAACTGAACAAATTAGGCAAAGCAAAATAAAGTCCTCCTACTCTGGGGGCCAGCTTATCAAGATAATAACATAGAAGGTAATGAAAAAGCAAACGATATAGCTAGAAAAGGAGCAAACGCTCCACTAACTGGACCAGAACCGTTCTGCTTCCCAAGTGGAAACCAACTTAAAGCAGAACTCAAGAGCCTGAAAGACTCCATCCATAACTTGGAATGGGAATACTCCATCGGTCTAAAACACTCGAAGAAATTTCTCAGGACTTACGACCGAGCCAAATCAAAAATTTTCTTTGAGCAAAATCAAAAATTTTCTTTGATTTTGCTCGCTGCTTTTTTTATTTTATTTTTGTGCGAAATTGTAGGTTTTGGGCTACTTTTCCCTACAAGAAGTCCAATGAGACTTAAGTATTGAAGTCCTTTTGGATTGCACCCTTTTATCTCTCTATCAGACTGGAGGCGTACCATTTTAAAGCTGACAACATCGGGTTTTCAATAGTGTGTCAAGCCGAGCACGCTCACACCCATATACGACGCTAAACCAGGGCTGGGTACTGGTCCCGGTCGTACCTTAAGGCCAGCTTTCCTGGGTCGCTATTCTCAGTTACGCAGATAATGGTAGCGAATGATGCCAATCTCGGAATCTCACGCCGTTGCGTACTGCTTCCGTTACCAGAGAGAAAGACGTATTGGAAGGATGGTACTGGGAAAGTTGCGATTCAGCAACAAATCGTTCTTTAGTAAAACAGTGGCGGTCAGAGTCGTCATATGGATTACTTGGAGTAAACAACAGAACATTAGCTTCAATTAGATTTTGAATTGGGCCAATAGTCACCTTCCCCCTGTAACGTTTTATGATGTATTGGAGTTCTCTTCTGATCTCTAGGCTACACTCTCCTGTCCTATCCTTTTTAAGTTTAATAACTCAGAGACTGAACCCTCCATATAGCTCTTTATCATTACATGTCTAATCATTACCTAATACCAAGAATCAGACATTTACCAGGCTGCAGCACTGATATAAAATGTGTTCTGTCATTTCTTCTTCTGATAGACAAAATCGGCACATAGCTTTGTCTGCCAATTTTGTCAGCCTTAGATGCCTATTGAGCTAATATGTGTCCTCTTAATAAACCCACTGCAGTTTGTTGTCTATGTCTCTTTGCTTATCAGCTCCGCATCAAATGTTCTCTTATGAATTTTTTAGCTTGTCTCTGTTCTGCTGAATTGTTCCACCATTCTAGAGATTTTTTTGACTATCCAGTTGTTTGAGACAGTTCCTGTAACTGTCTTAAGAGTTCAGTCTCCAAGTTGTTAGACATTTTGACAAGCATAGGACCGGGAAATGTCACCTAGAGACAGGGGTGGATGGGGAGGTGGAAACCGGCCCGGCAAAACAGGCAACCGGCCCAAATCCACAAAAAACAAAATGACCATAACGAAGAAACATACAGTGTTGCCGCATTTTTTGCAAAAAAATACTTTTAATTCTATTTGGTACAGTGGTACTACATTTTCAAATCAAGGATGTTTTGGTACAATAATTATTTCCCACGCGCACCGAAAATGAATAGATATTTAATAATTATTGTCGTTGATATTGCATTAAACGCGCTTACCGATACCATTCGGAGACAATCCGCATTAATTTACGACGTATGTTGTAATATCTATAGGGTTGCCTATATTAAATAACCCGAAAAAAAACTTGAAAATTCCTTTATTGACGAACTGTAAACGTTGTAAGTCTATGGTTGCCTATATTAAATAACCCAAAAAACTTGGAAATTTGCTGTTTCTGATATGTTTCTATATTTGCGTTTTTTTAAATAAAATTTAAATTTTCCAAGTATCGTGTGTAGTATTAGAATTACTTAAATTTCTTCAACCTATATTTAAAATTGGGTTTTCTGAATTTCTATTTCATGTTTTTCGTCTCGATTTGTGTCTTTCTCCATGAAGTTTTTTTTATGAAGAAATTTATGAAGAAATTCACAACGACCAAACCGCTTAAAGTCATTTGCAGATGAATTTTGTTGTGCTTTAAAAAATTGTACCAAAGTGATACATTTTTAGTTTAGAATATAGTACGCGCTAAAAGTAGGGTGCGGCAACACTGGAAACATATTTTATTTATTAATATATAAGGAAGGGTGTTTTTCGCTCGTGCGAAAAAGCTCTTTTGTGTCGGGTTTAAAAAAAATAAATTGTTTTGATCAAAATTTTCGTAAAGACCAATATTGGGTCGGACATCTGAATTTTTACTACAAAATGGTTCAGTTTTACAGGATTCTACTGCTTTATTTCCATTATCGATAATTTGATCTTGAATAGGCTACGATTTTGAGTCACGATTTTGAGAAACTTTAAGACTTCCTTATTTATTCAGTTCAGCTGACCCAATCCTCTGTGAAATACATTACTTTTAGCTTTTCGGGTATATACTTTCTTACTCATTGTAGAAATAAATTCTCTTTTTTCTGCTACAGCAGCAGCCTCCTCGTGTACACGTGTTTTTAACTGAATGAACCGCGGTCGCCATTAAAACTGCAGCATTTTTTAGGTTATTATATAGTTCTTATCACGAAACTATTCCTCTATACTTTTCTACATTTGGCATCTTGTATGATAATGCCATGACTCAAACGAAAAAAACCTAGGCAATACCTATAGGCAGTGGATATAACTGTGTTCTGATGTAATGCTCTGTTAGTCCCTAATAAGAATATTTGGATTTTCGAGACATATTAATATTTTATTATCTAATCTAGTTTAAACCTTATTTAACTTTTTCCTGCTGTCTCAGTAATTTTTAGCAAATTCATTTTGGCCACATTTTAAACAACAATTTAGACTTAGCTTTTAGTTCTCAGACTTGGCTTTTAGTCCGTCCCCAATTCAAGCCAAGCGTAGATAATATGTTTTCTCCGTCAACCGCAGAGTTCGCGTCAAATTCGTCTACCTTTTTACAAAGGGGAGCTTGAAAAATATTGCACCGAGGCCCCCAGTTGTCAATCTACGCTATCGTATTCTTAGTATACATTTAGATCGAGACTATTTAAATTTACCTAATGCTATTCATCCTTTTTTTTTGCTGCCATCAGTCATATTTATTAGTTATTACTAAATGAATAGTGGGTAAAACTATACAGGATGAGTCTTAAATAAGCACATTATCCCACGGTATAGTTTCTTAATGTCTGATATTACGGTACTAAAAGAGATGCAAATGCCGAAAAATTGAGATGGCTCAATTTTTTTTAAAAATAAATCTTTTATTTAATTTCCAAACTTTAATAACTCGATTGGACTTATTTGAAACTCGATAAAGAGAATATATTATGTTTATTTTATTGAGATCTACCAGCCCTGAAAATATTTGCACTTATAGACTCACCTTGTATAATAAAAATTTTCAAAAATAAAAATTAGTAAATAAAATTTGCAAACCGAACAGATGATTATTAAAATTATAAGTGTCTCAGAGAAAGACATTTTACAATAGTTATTTTACAAATTGGTGTTTATGTTTAAAAGCAACTGACGATTATACTGATGCAAATTGATTAGTTAGTTATGGAGTCACTAAGGATCTTACGTCACTTTAGTTAGAAGATGAAGCATTTAATTTTTGCTAATCCAATCTTTTTTGAGCTCTGATCGGGACCGGCCCACCGGCCCATCTTTCCACCGGCCCATCTTTCCACCGGCCTACCGGGAATTTTTCCGTTTTCCCATATGGCCCATCCACCCCTGCCTAGACATCAGAAGACCAAAGTAGATTCGAAAAAGTCGCAGTGGAACCAAAAACTGTAGAACAAAATTAATATTTAAATGCTTTTATCGTAAAAAGCTTCAGAGGTATCTGTATTTTGTCTCTAATGTGTAGTATTTTTGATCAATTTATGATTACAGAAAATAATTTTTCGATAGTTGCCTTTCTGTGAACGCCACTGGAATTCAATTGTAATTACGTGCAGTTAGATTCATGGTTTTACTACTTATATCAGAGCGTAATTTAATTTGCTGTTATCTCATCTGTCTGTAAAGTAAACAGAATTAACTACATAAAATGAGTTTTATTTTATATTGACATCTCTTGCATCCTAACCCATGAAAGAATAATCGTTAAGAAAGTAGGCAGACCTACATTCGAAGACCTTGAGGCGAATGTATCTGTCCACATCTTGATGTAGAGGAATGAGGTTTTTATGCTAAAAAACTAACTATTTGTGTTACAAATACGTTAATATATGAGTGAACTGCATTGCTGACAGCCAACCGGCCACTGTCTTCGGCAGATAACGAAAACATAACAATGCAGCGAAATAAATCAGTATTGTCAAAGTTTACAGATTTGGTATTGTAGAGTATTGGAATAAAGAGGGAATTGTAACTGCTGCTGAATTGTGTTTACTCAAGATCTATAGATAGAAGTCTATAGATTTTGGTATTTACTGTCGGTTTTTTACGCTTACTTTCGCGAAACTGTAACTATATTCGTAATTATTTTGTATAGTTGAAATTTGTGACCAGTGGCCAGTATTGTTACTTTATTGGAAAATTCAAGAAATTATGGAATATATTTTGATTATACAGGGTTCGTCACAGAAATCCGCAGACGAGGACTACGCTCCTGCAAATTTAGTTTTAGTTTTTTTTTGTAAAAAACATGTCATTTTATTTCTTAAAAATATTATCTGTTAAATGCCATCATTTTGCTCTTGGCTCTAATAATTGCGTCTATATTATTCTTTATTAGTATGTAAAGTTCCTAATGATTTCTTCATAGTCAAAAATTTGAACCTTAAGGTTGATAGAGGTGCCTACCAAATAAATAGAACAGCTAGGATCAGGTGATAAAGATCTCGCAAAACGCAAACATCATATTTTCCTAATGGACAACAACATTTTTGAACGCGGGGTGCTTCATGCAAAACAAAATTTAGTTAAATTAAAATTAAAGGATAGAGTGATATAGATCCAGCAGAGAACTGAAACCTGGATATAGGTCCATAAAGCTTGATGTAACTCCGGATCCGACTCTTTTAAAATACCGGACCCACCCATCTCTATACCGTACATTTAACACTAAAATATATGAGAATGTTTAGGAGGAGGGGTTAATCACCGCGACCTTACAGATCTATTGTGTGTTCCCCTTTCTTGAGTTATAATGAGTTATTAACATTTGCCGTTTTCTAAGCTTCAATCTACTGAATCTACTAAGGATTTCGTTAAGGAGAAAATATATAAACATATTTATTTTAACATTATTTATTTATATTTTTTTTGTAGAGAAAAATTTTCCAGTTTTAACCAAAGAAGCAAACAAAAAGCATTTTCAAAGATGTGTTTTTTCCTAGTTAACATCTCCATTAGAGATGGTACGTAAAAGTAATCAATAAACCTGCTGAAATCCGTGCCAGCGTACCGTTTCGTCTGCCCGCAAGGCTGTTGCTTCTTTCAGACTTCAGTCATCCTGTGTAGTAGATACCTCGGACCATAAAACACATAGATTGAATACTCTTTTCTCAATGGTATCCTGAATCTAAGATAATACAATATAAAATCCATTGAATATAGATTTTTTCTCTTCTTTCTACGCCTTTCCTCTTATATCAGTTCACTGTTTCAATTGCATTTTCATATGGGGGTATAATGAGTTACAACTCCCTTTCTTGAGTTGTAACTCATTATACAGTCTCAAGGCTTTGACAAAAGCGAGTATCTGAGACGGTTTTACAGAGGTTAGTTCTCCATCTCCGATATCAGTGGTACCAAAGTTTATGGCACGAATGGTTGTCGTCTCGGCACACTTAGTGTTGGGGTGTGCTGGTGTTTCCCCATTTTCCCCTTAGAATATGCATTCGTCTAGGTTTCTTAACTTTAATCCACTGAGATGTTCGTAAAGGAGACAGTGTCGTGTTAAAAACCCCATGACAATCCGAAGATTGTTCTTATTTATATCAGGAAAACCTTCTTTGTTCTTTTTCTGTTTTGGTTTTGAAAGCATCAGTATACCACGTTATCACAGACGACGTTATGGTATGGTCCTTTACCTACTAAGCAAACGTTTCTTTCAATCCTTTTTATTGCTCAATACTACAGTGAGGTGTTTCCCAAAGTTGTATATTCTTGGTATGTCGTCCACTGGGAGTTGGAAGAGTGGAATTTCCCTTTTGCAAGTGTGTTTTGTGTACCAAACCAACTTTTATTGATTACCTATAACTATACATATACCTAAAATTTTATGACCTACTTCAAGTTCCTTCGTCTTCGCTTAGAATTTAGTTGAATTTTGTCATAAATGGTGAGGACAGGAACTTTTCTAAGCTCTTTCGTAAATATCAAAAAAACTGTATTACGGGAATTGTTCTTTGACTTACTAATATATTCTTGGCACAAAATTGTTGGTATAAACAGTGTCTAATCAATCTATACATTATGGTCTATAGTTTTATACTCGCCGGCTATAACAGCAAAACAAATTGTTTAAAAAAGAGAGAAAGGAAGATAGAGGAAGAAAACCTGTCTTCCCATTGAGGTAATAAGTGGCTGAAGAACTGACGGTCGAGTCGGAAGAAATTTTGACAAAAAAAGTTAGTTGCGAGAGACCGCTAATTAGGTGGTTCGAAACGTTAAATCTACATTAAATTATATTTTATTATCAATATAATTGTTTAATGTAGTGTTTTTATTGTTTTTGAATTCTAACTGGTTTATTTATGATTGTTATTTATCATTACATACCATATCGAAAAACGGGACACGGGAAATCCCATGTAAATTTTGAAAAGGCTATCTCCCTATAAAAATATTCTATCTCCCTAGATAATTTTATGCAAAAGTTGTATTCAATTTTTTTGAAGAGGCGTTAAAATTGTACTATCACCATTTTTTGGCATAATCATAATTTTGATAGCAATTTTTGGAGCCATAATAATAATCAAATTAATAAAATTCATTTGCCATAATCATAATCAAATTAATAAAATTCATAATGCGGGGCCCAGAAAAAGCCTACAATGTTTACAAGAATTTGAAGGTACCAAATAGAGTAATTTTGTATAAAATAATTACAATATTTGGGACTTCCAAAAAAATAAGATGACTAAATGGCATTTTGCTGGAAATAGTCTCCACGCCCTCTCGGATATGTTTGCAGATCACTATCCAGACAGACCTATACCATATAAGTCAACAGTTCAAAGAATAATCCAGAGGTTTGAAACAAAGTCACGGTATTAAGCAAATGTAAGTGTGCATTAAGATAAAAAATGATGAACAAGAAGAACAAAATAATGTAAATATTCTTCTTTATGTTGAAGAAATTAAAAAGATTCGTTCCCGTCTGCTGGGAGGCGGTAGAAAAAGACCACAGTACTGTTCTTCGGATAGTTAAGATTATTAACTAATACAAGAAGATATTAGATGAACTTTAGCAGAAGTCGGCCATGAAGATCAGATCTGGTTTCCAGTGGATGGGTTGTTTAGCACATTCCCTTATAATTATAGAATATTTGCAGGATGCGTTTAAAGAAAACGTAATTGCGCTATATCACACCATTATTGGCCTGCCAGGGTTCTGATATTTTGTTGGCTATGAATTTGTTTTTATTTGAACATTTATTAATTAGTATATTTGTTTAATAAAGATTCTTAAGCAAATATTTCAATTATTTCCTGAATTATTGTAGATAGTTGCGGATGTATGTGACATGAGCGAGGCCCCGAGACTGATTGAGTAATGGGAAATGGGGACTATTCTCACTCAACTAATTCTTTTCTAGATGACCATTCAAATTTAGGTTAAAAATCTTCAGCCTTTCCAGACCACGTCCAGACACAAATTTTTGTAAAATGTGACATCGATTTTGACAATGACAAAATCATATTTTTGCTGGTATTTTAATTGTACCTTTCTCTTGGCCGTATTATAAATTGTACTAAGATAGATTTTTACAAATAACTTTAACGCCTCTTCAAAAATGTATAATGCAACTTTTTCATAAAATCATGTGAGGAAATAATATTTGACCATTTAAAAATGTACATGGGATTTCCTATGTCCCGTGTTCCTATACAGGGTGTCCCAGGCTGAGCGTGCATTAGAAGTTTCTAGAGAAGCACAATATCTAGATCGGAGATTTTTTGCACATCATTGTTTTACAACGAGATCTATTGATTGAAAATATTTTCAATATGGCGGCACTTCCGAAAGTACCGGAAGTTTACAGCAACTTTCTTATTTTAAATGGGTACCCCCATTTTTTATTACATACTTAAATTCTCTGTAAAATTTTATAAATTTTGATATTAAACACTCTATACCTAGCATTAACCGTTTTTGAGAAAAAAATATTTAAAATTTTTGGACGAAAAAACCTACCTGTTAAAAAAAATTGTTTAGCTTAAAAGTCAAATTTAGTGATTACCATAGCCACTGTGACATAAAGAGAAGACATGTGGCTATCTATTTCAAAAATAAAATTGTTCAAATGTCATATAAAAATGGCGGTAGCTGTCATGGAATTGAGCGATTAAAAAATTATCATAAATCATTTTTTCAAATGGAAACCAACTTTTTTTATTTCACTAGTGCAAAGGTTTTCCAATTCGTTACTTTTTGAGTACATATCCTGTACCTAAAATAAATCGTTTTTAAGTTATTTAAGATTTAGTTTGAAAACATATATTTTTCTTGATTTTATCTAACTTCCTTTGATATTAAGAGTCAAACAGTCAGACAATTTATTTCCATCTATCAGAAAACGAATTATTTGAATTTTCTATATTATAAATACTGCCTGCCTAAAAGTGCTTTTTGAACAAAGTGTCACAATATGACATAACCAGATCTATTGTTTTACATCAATTTGGCGTTTAAAGTCATAGGCTGCTGTTTAAAATCAAGAAAAATATACGCTTAACTAAATCGTAAATAACTTAAAAACAATTTATTTTAGGTAGAGGAACATATATAGTCAAAAAGTAACAAATGAAAAGCCTTTTCACTAGTGAAATAAAAAAAGTGGGTTTCCATTTGAAAAAAATGATTTATGATAGTTTTTTAATCGCTCAGTTCTATGGGGTCATTATTATATGACATTCGAACAATTTAATTTTTGAAATAGATAGCCACATGTTTTCTTTTATGGGACAGTGGCTGTGGTAATCACTAAATTTGACTTTTAGGCTATACACATATATTTTGACACACAGCTTTTTCCGTTCAAAAATTTTAAATATTTTTTTTTCTCAAAAACGGTCAATTTTAGATATAGAGTGTTTAATATCAAAATTCATAAAATTTTACAGAGAATTTAAGTATGTAATAAAAAATGGGGGCACCCATTTAAAATAAGAAAGTTGCTGTCAACTTCCGGTATTTCCGGAAGTCCGCCATATTGAAAATATTTTTAATCGAGAGATCTTTTTGTAAAACAATGATACGCAAAAAATCTCCGATCTAGATATTGTAGTTCTCTAGAAACTTCTAATGCACGCTCAACCTGGGACACCCTGTATAGCACACGGTATATATCGAGTCGCCTCTTATCTTATAAATAATAATAAAATAAAATAATAATAATCTTTAAAAAAAGGTATCGTTCGAACTTTATTCAACTAAAAAAACTACAGAAAAATGATCTTCTAAAAACGTAATAATAACAAAAAAATGGGGGCGTTCAGGGACGGTCAGCGGCTGAGTGGCTGAGTAAGCGAATTCCCTAAACGGTCAGCCGCTGAGCAAAAGTCTCAGCGGTCGGTCAAGCCGCTGTGTTCCCTGAACGCGCTCAATATGTAAACAGCACTTGTTTCCATTGGCCCCCAAACTAAACTACACGGAACAAGGGGGATCCCCATCCCAGGAAAGTGTACACCATGGAGATGTAGGTGTCTACGTCGAACTTCATTTCTCTCAAAATGGCGCGCATCTTCTTCATCTGTGGCATTTTGTGCAACGTTTCCGCGATCTTCTTGTTTTCCTTGCTGGCTATTTCCGAGCGAAGTTTCACAATTTGAGGGTCTCCTACAATAATATAAAAATTTCAGTTAATGAAATTTTTTCAATGTACATGAAAAATTGGACTTTTCAAGCCTAATATATTTTGTTCTAGTGGCCCAATTTGCAATGATTTTTTAAAACATCCTGTGGAGTATATTAACAAAGGGAAGGGATATAAAGACCACTTCATCATAAAGACACATCTTCTCTTGTTAGTTTCTTTTTTTATTCATCTCTGTAGCTTTATTTTTATTGGATATACTCTCTCTTGCAGAAGTCAGAAACGATTAGCAGCAGCCTGGCTTTGCTTTTGGTCCTCATCAATACATCTGTGAAATAATGATTATTTTTTTGTAATGTCATTGTCATTGAAAATGCATATATTATTATTGATTGCTGGCAGTTAAACTTTAGCGGAGTTGGTTTTAAGTCCAGATGTTGAGCTCTAACATATTTAATTATAGCAACAACAGCCCATATAACTTCTGAACTTAAAACCATATCTGATACAATTGCCAAAAAATAAAAAAAATATTACTTTTCAAACACACACAGCGATATTACAAAATCAATAAGCACTACTTCATATATAGTACCTAGTGTGCTAATTAGTACCAAAAGCAAAGACATGCTAAAACTGCTATAAATCGTTACTGTCTTCATTAAAAGCGAATATCTCCATGAAAAATAAAGCTATTAAGATGAATAACAAAACAAGCTATCTACAAAAGATGCAACTTAATGATAAAGTGGTTTTTAAGTTTCTTCTTACTTTGTTCAACCATTCCGCAGTGTATTTCAAACTTTCGCCAAAATATCATTTTTTTTTTCGTATAATACATAAATAAGACACATAAGGACTTTAATCTTCTATAAAAGACATATAAAAAAGTAATAATTTATCTAGATACTTAGTCCGGTGGCCAGCATCTTTGCAATTTCCGGGATAGGAATTATAGCTTCCAGGTCACTAATAAAACTTGCTAGGTTTGGTGGAGCCAACAGGGGACCTTCGATCTTCAACGATTCGATATGTTCCCTCAGGCAGGTGACAGCTTCATAGAGTTTGAAATTATACTGAGACAGAATAGTTCAATTAAAAATTTGTTACAAAAATATTTAAAATAAACCCAATCAAGTGTCTGTAGAAGAGGCAACGGATTATCTAAATATAGTTCATACCAATTAAACTTTTAGTCACGTGATTAAGCTCGACCGGCACAGCGTTGCCCTCTTTTACATATTTTCTTTTAATCAAAATATTATAGCAAACAAAAATAAATTAATTATAAATATATAAACAGTTATTAGTTACATCAACAAAAATCACCTCATTAACAGCACTTGGTAAGTTACCGGATTTATTTATTTATTTCCTGACATTGTCATTCGTTCTGACACTTTAGTTTTGTATTACTGAGTTTTTGGTTTAAATAAATAGTGTTGTGATACTTTAAGCTTGAAAATGTTTACTAGCAGACCTTGCAGTCGAACAATGTTCTTTTTAGAACCTCTTTTAGTGCGAAGTGGTACAACTTTATTAGAATATATTGAACGGGAAAGCGGTAGTAATGGCCCTTTATGTCCCTTAAGTGCTGATAAGAAGGTGAGTTTTGTTGATGTAAATAATAACTGTTTATATATTTATAATTAATGTTTTTTTTCTAAAATTAATTTTCAAAGTTTAATTTTGTTCCCAAAATATTTTGATTAAAAGAAAATATATAAAAGTGGTCAACGCTGTGCCGGTCAAGCTTAATCACTAAAAGTTTATTTGGAATGAAGTGTATAAGTGTATGTACACACTGTGGTACACACACTGCATTCACGCCGGTTCGAGACCGGATGAGTTCGGATATTTCGTAAGAGCCGTAGCAGAAAAAAAGAGACTTAACTTAAAATTTACTTTTAGGTAGACATAGGCATATTTTTACTTATAAAAGCTTAAGTTGCGATAATTCCTGATATTTGCATAAAACTATTTTTTTATTCAAAAAAAGGAGATTACTCTCATATTAATGTTTTTTTGGAGAGACTTTAGCCATTTTCAAAATTCACTGTCATTTTATAAACAAATCTATATACCTTTCTGGTCATATTGTGAAACATCTTGTACTCCTTAGAACTGAGCACGCTATCAACCAGGTCAGTCCAGTTTTTGCTTTGGAGAAACTTCACGGCCGACTTAAACCCTTCATCGTGCTCTAGGTGGTTCCTTTCAATTTCAAAGACCTTATCTTTGGGTATTAGACTGATCAAGACATGCAACGGATCAAATGGACTTGCACTTGAAACTGGACTTCCTGTCGATGGTCCTGCCAACACTGCAGGCAATAAGCACACCACCATTGATAGGAAAAGACTGTACCTCTGCTTCATCGTCTAGATGAAAATCGGCAGTTTCTACACAAAAAATCACAATCGAACTGGGTTTTGGTTTTACTTATTATGGGACACCGTGACAAGAGCTAGATGTTTGACGTTTTGGCAAACGGTTTTCATGGATACCGTTTTCGCTGGCTATGATTTTTGGATATTTTGTAATTATTGTACCTTTATTTTGTTTAAGGTGATGTTAAAATTACAAATACGGCTGGTAACATGAATATCCATATAGATAATGTAACACCTATTATTACAGAGACTAAAAATCTTGGAGTCTATTTTGATACGAAGCTTTCTTTTCAGGCACACATAATCACTAAAGTAAAGGCTGCTTATATACCTTTGAAGAATTTTTCGTCTCTTAAGAGACGACTCAGAGAGACGACGAAGTCAAAGACTAAGTATCAATTATGTGACACACTTATTTTATCTTTATTTGATTACGGCGATGTTGTTTATGGTACATCCATAAACGCTAGATTCTCTAGAAAAATCGAAATACTTCAAAACTCCTGTCTAAGGTTTTCTTTTAACATTCCTTTTAGAAATCATATAACGCCACATCTTAAAAATTTATCTATATTTCATCCATGACTAACAGACGACAATTTCATTTAATGACATTCATTTATCGAATTTTAACTAATGGAACGAAATATGCTGGGTATAATCAAGAGAGACCGTAAAAGAATAGAGTGGATACGACAAAAGGCCCAGGTAATAGGTGTCATCCACAGAGTCAAATCCTTCAAATGGCAATGGGCAGGACACCTTGCAAGAAGAACGGACAACAGATTGACCACAAAAATTGCAGCATGGTACCCACGAGGAATTAAGAGACCTAGAAGAAGACCGAACCTGAGATGGGACCATGATATTAGGAAATTAGCAGGCATAACTTGGGCCTGCCTAGCCAACAATAGACGACAATGGGCCCAATTAAAAAGAGAGTATGTGGGGGAGGCTACAAAATAATTGGGAAATGGGTGAATAAGCTGAAAATGATGATGATAGTGTTTTACTGCAAAATAAAATTACACTAAATCACCACGATATACCAAAACACTTTTACTTTTACACTGGACGCGCGTTTCGCTAACCATGTTAGCATCATCAGCAGATGATTATAAACTAAAGTACAATCTACAAGTTGATCGTTTATATACTCGCCCAGTAGGCACCGAGTGGGCGTGGCAAAATCTAGCAAACCGAGTCAGAGCCCACTGAGCGTAACAGTTAGATTTCCGCCACTAGAGTAGTAGGAACAAAGAACTTGAAGGAATTGGACCGTTGGCTCTGTTCATACTACCTTTACATTTATTAATTCTGATGCTTTCATATGCATCTAATTGCCTGTAATTTGAGACTTGTTTAATTCATTTTAAATTATTAAGATCTATACAATGTTCTTTATCAACAATATGTTCGGCAACGCAAGATTTATCCGGTCTACCATATCTTATCTGAGCTAAATGTTCTTTAAATCGAGTTAATATTAATCTTCTAGTTTGCCCAACATATTTCTGATTACAATCTTTACAAGAAATTTCAAAATACCCGACCTTTCCAGTGGAGGTGTTTTATCCTTTGGATTACCTAATAATTTTTGTAATTTATTATTAGCACTATACACAAGTTTATAATTGACATTCTTAAAAACTCTCCACTTGAAAAGTCTAATTTTCTTCGAAGTCTAATATTTTTCAATACCGTTTGATAGAGAGTTATCCCGTGGTCTAAAAGGAATTTTTAAGAATGTCAATTATAAACTTGTGTATAGTGCTAATAATAAATTACAACAATTATTAGGTAATCCAAAGGATAAAACACCTCCACTGGAAATGTTGGGCAAACTAGAAGATCAATATTAACTAGATTTAAAGAACATTTAGCTCAAATAAGATATGGTAGACCGGATAAATCTTGCGTTGCCGAACATATTGTTGATAAAGAACATTGTATAGATCTTAATAATTTAAAATTAATTAAACAAGTCTCAAATTACAGGCAATTAGATGCATATGAAAGCATCAGAATTAATAAATGTAAAGATAGTATGAACAGAGTCAACGGTCCAATTCCTTCAAGTTTGTTCCTACTACTCTAGTAGCGGAAATCTAACTGTTACGCTCAGTGGGCTCTGACTAGATTCTGCCACGCCCACTCGGTGCCTACTGGGCGAGTATATAAACACTCAACTTGTAGATTGTACTTTAGTTTATAATCATCTGCTGATGATGCTAACATGGTTAGCGAAACGCGCGTTCAGTGTAGAAGTAAAAGTGTTTTGGTATATTGTGGTGATTTAGTGTAATTTTATTTTGCTGTGTAACACCAAAGGTTCCAACCCTCAACTGTAATAGTGTTTTACTAAATATAGCTTCAACTAAATACAAAAATATATAAATCGAGAAACCATAACCTCAATTTTCGCTATAGGTAAATAACAATGGCAACAAAAATACGTAAATTCCGAATGGCTTAATAAAATTAAATCTGGAAACCGCACCGCAAATTATTTCGCAAAATAATAGGATAAAGCAAATATTTACAGCAGAGCAAATCTTTTTATTTATCGGCAGTTCTTTGAAACTGAACATAATAAAATAAACCGGTAGCATTTTGTGGCAGAGCACCATTAATAAACCAATTAATTCCCGAACTGGAATCCGTGCGAAATCCCTTTACCAAACAGTGGCGGCGCTAATACTATTTGTAGGATTTTTTGTGTAATCGTATTGTAGTTTAAAAGACACCGTAGGAATGTTTACAACTATATATAGAGAAGACCAGGCTACTAGTAACATAGCAAGTTGCCGGACGAATTTACGTTTACCCGTTTTGCGTTCGTACTCGAGAGTCACTGCCGGCTAGTCGGCTGGTCAGGCAGTACGAAGTTGCAGTTGTGCTTGGACGGGTCGGTCGTGACAGATTAGGAATATGACGCGAGGAGTGCCGTGTATTTATTATTTTCATTTTAAGTGTTTACCTTCACTTAAGGTATCATTTAAAATAAAAATACTTAAATATTTATTATTTCAGTGTGTTTACAAGCCAAAACTAAAAATAAATAAATTCTCTAAACCCAAAAGGAAACTATAATATTACTCTAAATAAAAAAAAAGTTATAACAAGACCACCTTCTTGTGCTAGACAGAAGCCTAGGCGGTCGTAAAATCCCCGTCTGACATTGCCTAATATATTAGGGCTAATAGTTTGGAAAACCTCTCGTATTTTTACTTGAAGCTCATCCAGATTATTAGCCCTATTATGACCATACACTTTGGATTTTACATAACCCCACAATCAAAACAAATGAAATCATTGGGAGAAAGATCTGGTGATCTAGCGGGCCACAAAATAGTTCCATGTCCACTAATTAGACGGTTAGGAAAAGTATTGTTCAAATATCCTTGAACAATACGGGCATTGTGCAGGACAACCACCTCAGCAAATTGATTACTTGAAAACGTGGGATTTTGATCCGCGGTAGCACAAACGAACACTTGCTTTAACTCCTGTTCTTCATTAATCAACACATCAGGCTTTTTGTGTTTTTGTGGGGACACGCACCCATGTGTTTCAAAATTATTAATAACTCTTGATATAGTAGATAAAGATGGAATTGGCCTGTTTACAAAGGTTTGTGGAAAAATTGTTTGTATATCCCGATAAGACCTATTTTGGAAATACCATTTTACAATTTGAATGTTCTCACGAACTTCATAAACATCCATTATTTTACTAAAAAATAAATTTTACACGAGAGCTGTCGCGAGGACCTATGTATTCGTTTTGGCTATTAAAACACGAATAAATACAAATTCTGAAACATTCTTATCACATATCTACCTATTTTGTTCTCATAATTTATCACAGCCTCCCTATTTGTTCTCATAATTTCACTACGTTGGCCGTGCTCATTTGACTAGGCAAGCGCATTATTTTAAAATTCGTCAACACCGAACAGCCAACTTCCAAAAATCTTTCAGTTTCATAGCGCCACATTTGTGGAATAATATTTCTAATAACTTTAAATTTCAATCCTTTACAGATTATAAGAAACAAATCAAAAATCATTTACTAAATTCGTAAAAATTATAATTTCATTGACTGATTTGTGAGGTTCTTGTTCTTCTCATATGCCCTTCATTGGTTGCCGGACTTTTTACTGTTTCGTTATGCCTCTCTGCTTGTCTCCGCTCATAGAGAAAGATAGTAAAAAGCCGCTCATCCCTGATAAAATTATATTTTCCCTTTTTTTAATCTAATCTCTGTTTATTTTTATAATTTAATTTATTTTATTTTGTTTTTGGGGTCGCGCCACTCTGGCACTTTGTGTCTTTGTATCGGTTTTTTAATCGCGGTGAGATCCCTTTAGACAACCATTTATTAAGAATAATTATTAATCTGTAAAACTTAATGGGGTCTTATAAAAAAAATAATCGAATTTGAATTTGAAAATAGGGTAGAATAATAATCCCGGGGTTTACGTTTTAAATGTGCAAATTTAAAGGCATATTCTTTCTCAATGTACCTACTTTAGTTTGAGAAAATTTACATACTTGTAGAAGCAACCCCATTATTATTATATATGCCATTCATATCATGGATTATTCCAATATTAAATGAAAATAAAATACATCCATATAAAATAATATACAGGGTGGTCCGAACTGTATTCTGCAGATAAAAATAAGTAAAAAAGTTCGTATAAATGTATGTCCTAAAATACTTTGTTTCAGAGATACAGGGTGTAGAAGTTTCATTTTTATTTCGATTTTTTCTAAATAATTTCTGAAGTAACCTATTTGTAGAGGGCGCCACCTACATGCGTTTTGACTGGTTTGAAGAGTAATAACTTTTCGTCCGTACCTGTATAAAAACTATTGACTAAAAAATATACATTTCCATGACTTTTTACGTAAAAAATGTATCTTGGTAAAAATCGCTACGAGCAACCGTTCTCCAGATATTTAGAATGGAAATAGTCAATACATGTCATTATTGACAAAAAATAAGCACACGTTGAGTATAGTTATTTCACTGAAATAATACATTTTTATTTTTTTAAATTAATTTCTGCGAAGAAATTATGATTAAACAGTTTCTTTTG